CGCCTTTTATATACACACTATGTTTTAAGATTCCTGTACCTACCTCTTAACCTGTAAATAATCATTGCGAGAAAGAAAGAAACTATATGAGAATTGCAATCAGCAAAGTCGATTTGTATTGCAGTTGGGCACGTCAGGTCAATATCGAAGGTAATTGAGTTGCGCCTGCGCCGATGACGAGCCGCTTGCGTAACATACATTGACGTTCGTAACATACGTGTGCGCACCGCACGTGGCGTACAACAACTAGCCTTGTGAATTATTTATTTCCGAGGCAGCAACATTTTCACACGCCGGTCGTTGACCCCGCGGCGACCGCGATCAAAGTCGCGACATCTCTGCGCCGAGTGACATTGATCATCCCGCTTTAAGACATGCTCGAACGATGCAGCTGCATATCTCAGTGTCACTTCAACATACAAACTACACTAGCGAGCTTCAATGAATAACTTTTGATTGTAAATACCTTAAAATTGTGGTTGAAATCATTCTTTAGGTATTTATATTTCTTGGGGTAAGTATTAGTTTAGGTACGATTTATAAATGTAATGAATTTTGCTACCGAGTACCCTTGAGATATTAAAAATACCTTAATTTGTTATGAATAATAGTAATTCAAGCTGTGAAAGTATTTATTTCTTGCACCTCGAACGCATCTGGTACAAAAGATAACAAAAACTTGTTTACTTCTTCGCTCGTTCAAAACTTCTGACTTTAATGTGATGTACTGGAAACATTAAAGTTGTGCAAAGAAAAACTGTTTTACACCTTGTTGTCGTGCGACATAGAAAACTCTACCGTTTAAAAGATAATTGAAAATCAAAACTTATTTCAATTCTCTTGCTATTTTGGATCATATTTAATTGGTGTCCAATTGCTTTTAACATAGAATAAAGTAAACGTCCAGTAATATTGAGATATGTCATCAGTATCTCATTAAAGTATTAATAGAAGGTGCAGACATAAACAGACCGTATTGCGCAGAACTTATGCCTTGCGAAGCACAAGCATTCTCGAAGGATATTTATATGCTAGGGCTGCCACTTCCTCTGGTTTAAGTTGATATCTTTGCATAATTCATTTTATATTTGGGCTAATGTTGGCATCAATGTCTACGGGGCAAAGTGCGCGATGGGAAACCACAGATTTTTGTAACACTTTTTTTGTACCGCGGTAAGGATAATGAGTCGTGTTTTTCTTTCTTTGGTAGCCAAAGAGGGCCATTTTTGGTTCTAAATCTAGTTAATGTTGGCAACCCTATTCCCCGTATGGGAGCTGTGTCCATCGAGCTAGCTAAATATAGTATGCGTTGCCCTGGAGCGTGGTTTACGTGCCACTGACCTAGCCAAGACAGGGCGGTAGTCATCTGGCTAGTCACTACTAACACGCCACGCCTTCCTGCACAAAGTGTATCTTACTGGAATAATTACCATGTTAGGAAAATACTAAGACTTAAGGAATACGTTGAGTAGGCTAAGAATTAACCAACCTATATAAACGATCAAGTTGGACCCTAGATGGATTTCAGCGATACTTGCTTACGCATATCCTCTAAAAGTCCCCACTATGTGTTTTCCCATCACGATAATTTCCTTATATTATTAACATAAAGCTTGCAGTGTTTATCATTTGAACCTCTACATATATGTCTACTGTATCGTTTTATAATGCTAATTGAATCCTTTTTACTCTTAATAGAAGACTACAGAAAAGATATACGCCAGTTTTATTAAACACTTCAAAACTATACTACCTCAGTGTAATTTAACAAATGCAACACATGAAAAGATATGTTCACAGGAACATATTTTTGGCTGGTAAGCCCCTACAAATATCTTTTTTGTCGTCGCATTAAGTCTGATTAGTCCACTTAGCCGCCGCGCATTAAAGCGCCACTCTGAATTAAGAGCTCGCCGTCGCCTGAAAACTTTAAAACCTGAATACGCCTGGAGGTAGCAGGTACACTGTATTTCACAATTTCGGTACTTCTTTTAGCAAAATTTTAATTGAAGTCACACTTGGACTTATATCTTCCCATAGGATTTATTTTTTCCAAAGTTTTACATGAATAGTCAGTTGCTTTGAAAATCATATAGCTATGAATCCAAAAGCTTTACAAGCTTTACACATTTCCTTTAAATTTGCGCAATGAAATATCGTTTTTATCCATCTAAGTAATTTGTTAAAATAGAAAATTTGCAGTCTTGTAATCTTGGAAGTCTTGTAATACTCCCATAGAAATGTTTTGCGGTCTTCTGAACATCAATTGTGTCTAGGGCCGAAGATTTAACATTCATATTATACTATGAAATTCTGAAAAATATTTTGGAAAACAAGAAAGTTTCTGCTTTAAAGTAATTGTGCTAACCCTGCGTGATACATAGGTGTACATAATACAGGCGCAGTCTCTTGTTGATGCGCGCCGGATTTGGGCCAAGTGCAGTCGGTCGTCGCATTTATAACGCAACGCGACTAATACCGCCCCAACTTGCGAATGAATCAACTATCTATACAGAGCCGAACCTTTCATCACAAATACTTTCGAGTGACAACCCTAATCTAAGCAGTGAGAACATCATTCGTAATAACCAGATTGTGATTATAGCCAGATCTAATTCCGTTGCCGTTCCTTAGTCCTTTCTTCCTATCAGAATTCACCCTTGAATAATTAAACATAAAAACTATTCTTCATACTAAGTTTGCGTAATGTTACCTCATTCGAGAGCACATTGCGATTAATATCTTCCGGGCTCTATTTTAATAGACCCTTAATTTTGAATTTAGCCAATTAATATTTTGTGCAATAAAATTCTGGAAGATTTTTAACAAGTAGGTATCTACCGAATAATATTTCAAAGCTCAACATTACGTATTGTATAGTAGGTAAATTTGTGAGGTTATAACGCAACTACAGTGCTCTAATGCGCTACATCTTTTATTCAATACTAAAGTAAAAAGACGTGTCCTCCGCGGAGAACAGTACGAAAGCAATACAGAAACAGAACGTAGATAGAGCGCGCGGCCCGGCACGTCCCGACAGCTTCCAACAATAATAATTAATTGACTCGTCCGTTCGTTATCGTGCTTTTATATTGACGTTCCCGAGCGAGCGAGCGGGCGAGGCGCATTCGGAATGAAATTTCCATAAAAACTTTTGTGCTCCGGCGGACGTTGCGAGCGCACGTTAAAATCGTCGGGCAATAAAACAGCGGCCGGAGCGGCGCGGCGCGGCGAGGCGCGACGGCGAAGCGCGGCCGCGGGTGCGAGCGGGACGCCGCTATGCCAGTGGCCCGATCGCGGCAAAAACATCGGCGCGGTTATCGCGCACTGCCCCCGCCCTCTCCGCGCCGTCCCCGCTCGCCGCTGCCCCGCGCCCCCAGTCCCGCGCCCCGCATTAACCTCGCCGGCGGGGGTCGGCTCGACTTGCCTACTGCTGCCTCGTCGAGCGCCTTCGCTCGCTGTGAACGCGCCCGTGTATAGAACACAATAATATCGCGAGGTTTTAACTTGGAAAAGCTCGGTGTTTACACGTTCGCTTGGCAGTTTGCTGTCGTCGTTTGCCGGTTTTTGTTACACCGAATCGCCGTAACGTTGCGGTCGAAACGCGATCGACATCGAGCGGCGATTAATTTACGCGTCGGGAGACCCACTTCTTTTGAAACGGTAAGTGTACAGCCGGACCACTCGAATCCCCAACATTGTTCGTTAAGTTCATTTTGACACAACGTCCCGTCATTTACAAAGGAGCGTCTATTGCGTAAGGTCCATTCTTTTAGAAATGCTCGAGCGGAACTTTTGAAAAAATAGCACCAGTTCAGTTTTGTTTTGTTCGATAATGTTTATTGCACGAACGTGTTCTGTGTATGCCTTTACTTTTGCCGGCAGCCGGCGCCGCGGCCGAGGTTGTAGTGTCAAGGCGTCTCATATAGAAAATTATTCGTATACTAATTGCGTACACGGCATGACGTGCGCACGTTGAGGCTACACACGACTGGTAATGAGGCAAACCCGCTTGCGATGTTGAAAAAATTATTTGCACTTTAACAACCTTATTCCTTGTCCCTTGCTTATTCGCGGAAAGAATGTCATTGGACCATTAAGAAGAATTCTTAATGACATATCGTGCACCTGTCACCTGGCACAAGATTAAGAATGATGTTGAAGTCAAAATCAAGGTAACACGTGGCGTGTTGCAATTTTTAACAAGAGACATTAACTGAGACGAACTGAGTAATGTTTCATTTTAAAAAAAAATCTTAATTTACTAAGTCGCCGTTTGTTACAATATTTTGCTTTTATTAGTATAATTATATTATTGTTTTTATGTTAACCTGCTTTTACTTATGAAATAGCCTTCTCTATCTCTTCACATTGCAAAAAATAGTGTGACGATACGTATAGTCCACCTAATGTTACAACAAGTTTATTGTAATACGAAACCGTTTGTATTTTAGTTGCATTATGTATTACTCGTGTCATAATAAAAATAAATTGTTAAAGTATCGTTACTTGTGCTAGACTAAACCACATGTACGAATTACCTCGGTGGAGTAACGTAACGTTTCGCTTTTAAAGCTGTTGTGACGAAAGTAGGGAAAGGAATGTACCGGCGGCTGGGACTCGTGAGAATGAAGGAAAGTGGCAACGAAAGGGCGTGTGGAGTGAACGTGAACAGTCTTTACAGATAAGACACAAAAACAACACACTCTGTACAAATATAAGTATTCCTTGTCAAATATCCCTTGCAAAAAAATAAAAACAGCCGAAACTCATTGCACTGAAGTGATTCGTATCTAAATAGATATTGCCATTCTTTTAATTCTATTCGACTAAACATCTTACCTTATCCTACTCACGTAGGCCGGCGCACGAGCCTTTAAAAATCCTAATGTTTTGGCTTGATTTTTACGGTTGGTCGCCTGCTTGTTGCCAGCCCTACAAGACAAAGACTACTTGTATAAATGTAACGCCATTGATATTAATTAGTATGTTTGTTACAGGATCTGACAGGTCAGAACAGCAATGACTCCGGCGGCAGCGGTAGCGGCGGCGCAGGTCGCGCGACCACGCCGCACCTGAGACCTACGCCCAGCCCCACAGGCTCCAGTGGCTCGCGCTCCATGTCACCGGCTGTCGGTATGTATAACAACGCCATAACACGCACAAAAGAGATCCAAAGGGGTATTTATAGGGGTTAAAATATTCTGAGAAGAACATAAGATTAACTGCTGAACTCAATCTTTTGCTGGTTACTTAAATAGTTACTTAGTGTAGAGTTATTTTGCACAAAATATTTATATACTAATCGTCTTTACTTACTATAAACTTACATACTGAGGACACCGATTACATCATGAAGTTGTATCGTAGCGTAGAACGTAAATTGGCAACACATAAATCATGTAAAATTTAATCAATTGTAATTGAACGCGTCCAATATTACAGCACAGTTGTAGCGTCACATGAATATGAATGAGCATGGCAACAACATTAATTGCTGCAATTGAGCCGACGGTACGTCTCCTAGATTGATGAATGATTGTGCTCAGAACCAAGTTTGACACATCCAAATGACGAATGAAAAATGTGGGTGTGTAGAGGTGTCTGTGATAAAGCGTGTAGTAACCTAACGACATAAACGCAACGCTCTTTCAAATAATATCAGTATTAATCCTCGTCGATAACATGCAAATTTACAAATATTCTGCGTCGGTTTGGTAGGCATTTAGAAAGTTACAATTGATATAAGGGGAAGAAATGGTTTCGGTAAAGTTACATTGCCGTTTATTTGACCTAATTAGTATGTTTCAAAATAGAATGTTGCAGAATGACTTTGTCTTTGTACGTCTTATCAATTTTTCCTTTAGTTTGTCAATCCCTGGATTTTTTTCTTCGATCATTTTTCCTTACAGATACTATGTTATCTTTTTCTGGTTTTCCTCCACAATGATCTTTTTCCTGTAGTACGTCAAATATGAATGTACTATGGTATTGTCCTCAAAATTGGTTTTATACATTCTCCTTTATTTAGTTGCATTTTGAGTGGTAAAAGATCTTATATTTTCTAAGTTAAATTTTATACAGTGGATCGCTCGTGCTTCGTGAGACTTATTCCTGACTATAGTAGAGTAAGCAAGTTAACGAATGTCCTTGCATTAATTGGTAGGATGCATCCTGATGTAAATTTATTCTTAAGCTTGTGGTAACCCTTGTGTATTGTTTGTTGTCGATTCGAGTGAGAGTAAAATCTTTGTGAGGTATGTTGATCGGATTCATTGTGCATACTTCGTCACCGGCAGACGCGGGCTTTCCCGACATTGACCCACATAGCTCGGGCGCCCAGAGTACACCGTATTTTGCCCCTTTTGCGGGCGCGAACCACCCCGTCCTCCCACCTTATGTACGAGTGAGGGGTGGTCGCGGTATATAGGGCCTCGTGAAAAACTTACCCCCCCCACCCGGGGGGGGCGAGCACGCAAAACAGGACCCGCCACCCCCGAGTGTCGACGCGTCAGTCTTACGTGCCGGACCATCAGTGCAATCGGCAACAACAATCTTCCAATGTTTTTAAACACCACCCTAACACGGTTTGAATAGCCAGACGATATACTTACATCTTCTCGTACCTAAAAACAATCACTTTTATTAAGAAGCTGTTATGTAACGAAGATTATGAATAAACAACAAAGAAACTAAGCGTTACATTTTCAGAGAAAAGTCTATTTCACAAGCTATACAAAGATAATGAATGGAAGAATCGCATTCTTGCATTTCTGCAGAACAATTTTCCAGTGTGTAGTGCGTCGGGCATTCGGAACGGCATTGCCGATACCTGCCGTGGCCTTCCTGTTACTCGGCTCATTAAAAAAGTCCAGTTAAATGTCAAGTCGTTGGCGATCGGAAATGCTACAGAAAGTTCTGCGTATTACTCGCAGTCGTCGCCAGGTGATAGTTGCGAGCGTACAAGAATATCGCATGGACAATGTGTCGACAAGCAGCTATAATTATATCGAAAACAAAGTTATGCGTAAAACGCTGACTGAAAGGCATCGAAATAAGTTTGTAAAATGTTAAATTCGCTGAAAGTTGGTACTATATACGATAGTGTAATTTTGGGCAAAAAAATAAGTGTTTGACTCTAATTTGTTACTTGATCTGGTTTTGTTTACCGTGGAGCATCTATACTGAAATTGGAAACTCATAAATTGTCTTACTTGATTACAGAATTTGAAATATTAGCACTGAGGCTAGACATTCCTGGAAAACACATAAATTACTTACACACTGTCCTCGAAAACCATAAGTTTGTAGTATTTATAGCGTGATAACAATGTTTGTAACTGTCATGCGGCGAGCTAGAAACTGTCTAGATAAGCATTTCTCAGAGTTGGCAGATTTATGCGAAGATCTGTAACTCCCTTGTCGGGATTCCCTCGGAATGTCCTTGAGGGGTACGCCCGCCGAGGACGCCGCATTACCTCTATATACCTACTTACCCACTGTTCGCTAGCCCACGATCTATGTACCTACGTATGTATGTATTTACTTTACGTGTTTGATCCCAGAGATGGGGTACGATTTCATTCATAACTTCGGGATTATTTTAACTATTTGTGTACGTATGTTGAGTACGGGCTTAAATGTATTAAAATATTCTTCGTTGATAATTCTGTTTCACATTTTAGAAGGATTAAAACTGCTTTGTTTTTCGTTAAATTTTTATTCATAATAAGAATTGTCTTCAAAAAATCGTTCAAATATGTGCACGACTTGTGAGCGAGATTCCGGAGGCGTTGTGGCTCGAGCAGCGCTTGGCTTTCCCCTTAAATTGTGTTTCCAAATAGTTAGTAACATGGTAGTTCGTTAGTGTTCGCCTTAAAGAGCGTTTCGCCATTTCGTTACGAAGCTGGGCCTTAACGAACGGCGGCCACAAAGCGATCGTGTTTTGTTAACGTCGCTCGAGCGCCCAACTTGGCTTTCTCAAAACATCGGGCTCGGGCTCGAGCAGCGGGCGAGCGGCGACTCCAATACCGGTTGTGTGACCGCAATACGCCTCCACTCCGAAACCCGTCTGCCAGCTCGGCCGCCGCGCCCGCTTCGCGAGACACCGTCCAACGCTGCTTCGACTCGGCCTGCCTTTATACCTACCGACTCAGAACCGTCGATGTAGCGCGCGCCTTTGTGAGGTTTCACGTAACTCGACCCTGCGAACTAGGTAGAGGCTTAACACAGTATGACGTCAACCGTTCGGCTCGTCGTCGGGCTTCTCGACTCTCGACAAACAGCCAGCTAGCCAAGTCTCATTGGAAAATTATACGAAGCGCTTGCACGAGGAAAAAGACATACAAATTCATGATGCTTAAAAATATGTACATTTAGAAATTTGTACCACCTCATTTCAAACAAATTATTTCTTTGCATATTTAAAATTAATGACACTTTTATTTTCAACAAATTCATTGTTTGATTCCGAAACCTTTTTTATCAAAACAAATGTAGTGCAGCCGGGCCAGTAGACAAGAGAGTTTGTTAGCGTCGTTCCCAAATAAAAAGCGGTGTTTATCGAGCGAGCCCGTGTTCGTTTCCAATGCGAGCTCTGTCGTTATTTTAACACAATGAAGCCGCAATACCGCAACTCGACGCGCTCGAAGGTGAATTGCGTATTGTTCGACGCCCGCATTCCGCGTCACTTACGAAAACGACTCTACAACGCTATTTATAGGGCTTCCTTTGCTTTATCCCCAACGGTGCCTTAAGTTGATTAGTTTGAGACTCTAGTGCGGTGGTCTTAAGAGCGTATATTGTTGTTGTGAGGTGATCAGTCGCCACGGTATACGGGCGCTAAAAGCATTTCGCAGTCGGCCGTCGTGCGTATCAGCGGACGGCCGGAGGAATGCCATCGGGCGAGATAAGGCGCGCTGCGGCCGACTCGAACGGATTCTCATGCTTGATAGCTTCAGATTTAGGTACCATGACGTAAGCGATGACAGAAAAATAATATAAAATTCAGTGATTCCATGGTCTCCAGGAGGGGGAAGCTGACTATAAAGAATTCTTAGTTGAGGCCAGACGGGACAGTCATTCATCTGGTTCATTAACGATTACCAAATTTTGATTATGAACTTATCAACCAATATTACACTTCTTACACGTTATTCAATTAAAAGGATATGTCTAACTTACGGTATTTTCAATATTATTTACGCACAAAGCCCAAAAAAATGTATTTATAAATACTTATTTAGCATCTAGTTAAGCGGTGTCCTGTTTTAATTATCTCCTTAGCATATGCAAGTGACAAGCGGCAGGTACGGTCGCGTGGCCGCTATCTACATCTCGCTATGCTGCAATGGACACGCCACTCCGAAGGACACCGCCTGCTCGCTGCCCGACTGACGTGACGTGAAGTGATTTGACGTGACGGATATGTAACGCACGCAAATGTGGAGCGTTCCCTATGTGAGACAATGTTACTGATTAAAATATACAGACGACATCCGAATGAAACTAATCAGTAACAATTTTAAGTCATATAACTATCAATAAATAACAGAAAGCGATTGGAAACTCTGATCTGAATGATAAGAAGCAGTTTAGTTCTAGCGGCATAAAATAATCGTAGTTGTGTTCGTAGCAACCACACAGCTTGTGAATAAGGTTTTATTTTAGAAAGGGTTTTAAGGTTACATAAACAATAAAAAGACACCTGTTCATTTAAATGTCTGTCGTCGCATAAATTCCGGCGAGCCAGCACGTGGTCCCGCGTCCTTGGAAGGCCGACGACCCCTTTTAAATGAGAGCACAAAAAAAACCGAAGGAAACTCTTTTTGCTCGGATCCCGCCATAATGTTTGTTTTGATCGTTTTCACGTAAACGATCCGTCTTGTTTGCTTTTTTTATATGTACAACCCCTCCCGCAGTTGCCGGATTGGTTCGACAAATCGTATTTTTTATTTACGACTTGTCAAGTTGAACGTGAATCGTTTGTTATGTACGCGTGTGTAAATAGAAACATAATGGTTACACGATTTCTGTATTATGCTATTTCAGTACGATAGATGAGAAACGTAAAATGTTTCGTTACGTATAACTTTGGATAAACTAATCATGGAATACGCAAAACATTCTCGAACTAAAATGTAGATGAAATATATAAAATATTCCATATCGTTTTTCGTCGTCTAGAAAGTCGTATCGTATCGTCTCTACAGACTTAACACCATAATACAACAAGGAACAACCGTTCCTTCAAACCAACAAAATCCACCGTGTTGTAACCACAACACGGTGGATTTTGTTAGCTCCTTAAAGTATTTTCAGTTTTACTGCTGATACACTTTATTAAGAAGAAGTATAGCTTTAAGATAAACACGCTAACATTCATCTCTGTGTTGTTCAATGAAATTTACCTACGTTGACGGAATTTCTATTATTAAACTGTTAATTACTTTGTGATTAGGCCGAACGATCGAATACGACAATGACATAGTAGCGAAAATAGGCATTGTTTAACCGAGCACTTGTTGCATAACCGACCCGATCCAGTTTACACCACTCGTTCTAATTGTATTCAGATAACGCCGGAACACTGATAAATTTAATTGAGTCAAGGTCGACTGAGGGTTGAACGTCCCACCCTCTTCTTATATCCGATATTCTTTCACTGACCGACTTGTACAAATGTGACTGACTGTTGCATATCTTAATTCATTCTACGTCGACTACAGTTGTTCACCGACAAAAAGTAATTGGTTCACCCTGATTGCTTTGCTGTAACGAACGAAAAATTGAGTACATGTCAAGTGTCATCTAAAAATTTTAAGTTTGTCTTTTAATTTTGAAGAGATCGACCGGTTAATGTATCGACTTTTGATGACTTTGTTTTTATTATAGTCTTATTTAGTTTTGATCATGGAAAGAGAGCTGTAACATTACTATAAAATTGTCCCTTTATTTGCGTCGAACACGTAATCACGATAACTTAACGAAGCCATGTGAGTGGAGTCAGGCGGCGGACGATCTGTTTTAAATGGATCGCCTTGCTGGCGGCTGCGTCGTGACTGCGACGTTTTCACTAACTAGGCCGTTTTTATTATCGCCGTTATGCTCACAGACACACACTGGCACATGTGACCACGCAATGTTTCTTTATTAGCTTTCATTGAATGCACGAGGACAATTCAAAGTGTTAACTACTGTTTAGAGAGACGTGTAAATTTTTTGGTGTAAAAGTTACTTAGGTCTTTTTAGGAAAAAAAAAATACATAAATATAGTCAGCTATTTTCAGTTTGGCAGAATAATCAATTAGTTTTCTATGATTATTCGTTTGTGAGTGTTTCTGTAATTAAAATAAATTGATTTTTTAGATACGCAATAAATTTTTCTTCTTTCTTTATCACAGTTTGTATCAATGATTCATCAAGTACGATTCGATTCATAAAATGTGACATTCACGATTGTTTATAAATATACAGAGTAATTAAATTGTATTCTATAGTCGTTTAGATGTGCTCTTCATAAAGTTTAATTAGCTACGAAGTACTGATCTCCACAAATAGACGACGAGGTGACGCCTGTTTATTTTACTTTGCCCCCGCGTGGGCCACACTTGTGCTGCCCGGACGTTAATTATTTATTATAGTAAACAAGCCTCTTACTACGATGTACCTGACAACGTAATATGACCATTTTTGTAAAGCAGATAAACAAGGTGTTAAAATCTACCCACAAATGTTTACTGATCCGATCTTAACACGTCCAATGCCACGATATTTACGAATGAAAATCGTAGGCACGTTATAGTAGCAATAAGCATGTGTCAATTGCGTGTAAGTCGCGCGGTGTGCGGGCGGCATGCTCGCAGGAATGTGACATGCGGTGCCGCGACTGCCACCACAACCAGTGTCGCCACCGCTGCTACCACCGCTACTGACACTGCCGCATTCCTGCGCCGTGTCCGTGCACTGGCAGTGTACGCCGGCGGCAATATTAACCCGACTACATTAGTTAATTAAAATTGACATACACTACAATAACTAGCCCAGATACCAACAACTGTTTTCATAGATCGATAGCTACATGATTAACATTTAGTTTTTGTTTGATAGAAATTGCATAACTGGTTTAGAAACTATAGGTTCGATTCAATGTAGTAAATAAAAATTCATATAAACTTGGGTTATTATAATTGACATTACAAATGGAATTTAATTTACATTGGCCGCGCGCAATGGCCATACATTTGCAAACTTAGAGGTCAATGCCTCGACACAGAATTAGAGCACTGCAATTCGTTATGCTCAATTATATTAAACAAAAAAAATATTTATAACATGTCAGTTCACTCGCTATTAGATGATTGTTTTGTACGCATGTTCATAATAGTAATAGTTTTAATTCGCCGTAAATGTGTACTGGGTTCTTTTTTTCATTAATTTCCGAATTATATCTAAATCGTCACTTTTGATAGAATCGTAATGAACTTGTTTGAAGTATAATTTTTGATATGAATTGTTTGAGTTGAGCGTGAATAAGTCATGAAACTGACACGTGGTGGTGTGGTGGGAAAGTAAAGGCCTCGGCGCGGCGACTGCCTGCCCTTGACAGAGCGGGTTGTTCGTACTCGAGCCGCGCCGGACAAGATGCCTTTAGTTAACTTCACAATCGCCATATACTTACTAAATAGTAAGTACTTATAATTTAGTTAGAGTTATTCAGAACGACTGTATAGATTTCGCTGAAAATTTCGACGTAAATGTAGAATGTAGCCTGGAGAAGCACAAAGGCTACTAATTTATTTTTTTTATTTGTCGCGGACGGGGTCGCGGGCGACAGCTAGGCAACTATAAGAAATTTCTTAAGTAACAATATAAAAACTCAATGCATTAGAGCTTAATTTAATTGTTATGAATTATTAGTCAAACATTATTATGAACGTACGTAAACTGATCCTTTTACTTTCAGTAGTAAGGAATCTTTGTAGATGATTACAGTTAACAAGAGCGTTGAACGCAACTGGATAATAATTTATTTATTAGATTACACTAACGGATAAGCAGACATAACAATGACTCTGCGTTTTATAACACGTTTTAAACACTAGCTAGTACGTATATTAATTGGAAATCAAAAACCCGTAGATATAACAGTTGGCTTCACTAAAGGATGTCTTTGACGTACTGAATGCCCTGCACAGTAAAGAGTTTTCTATAGTTAATTTTATCTAGGGTTTCTATAAAAATGATCATGCTTGCCCATATTTATAAACAAATAATAAAAGAGCCGTCGACACATCAGGAGCTTTCAAAGTTCCTGATTCTAATGAAAATATGCGGGTGAGCTAAAGATGGCGCGTTTTGCACACAACATATTGTTTTGAGTAAAAGAAAGGAGAGAGCCCTTAAATGTTTTGTTAAGGGCGTCATTCATTGTTTATTTTTACGAGGTTCGTCGGATCCGGGCAGACCGGACGACCCCGTTAACGTATGCAGTCATTAAAGGTCGCCGTAAACAAATAGATATATAGGTGATGTTCGAGTATGGCGATGCTGTTATCTATTATGATTCACCGGCGCCTCGCCGTCTGCCGACCGTCTGATTGTGCCGACAAACCGTTTAATACCCCGATAACATTCGATCATCGAATTAGGGACGACCCAACTGATTTTTTTTTTCAACCGTCGCTTATTCGATATTTCCCAATTAATAACAACCGTAGGCGGTTCTACGGTTTCAACTCGCGTGCCGATTTTTTTGCGCAACGCCAACGTGCAACGGGCTCCTTCGTAACAACCTAATATAAGTACACCTTGGGCAAGTCCAGATCGACCCACATAAAAGCTGCAATACCACTTTCGTCGTCGCAAATCACCGGCATCGGTGTCTCGGCCTCGGTCAATGCGTCGCGTGCGTGTCGCAGCCACATATACGGCAGCGATAAAGTGCAGCGGAGAATTGGCGGACTGCGGTGCTCACGTGCGCCGGAAAACGAAAGTGATCCGCCGCCTCTCCGCCCCCGATTGATGCGATGCGCCGGCTTAGGCGAGCCCTCGTTAACTGTATTATTCAAATTGATGTGCACAAGTGCCCGCTCGTCTGTGTGCGTGTACAGTGCATCCACTCGACACCACGCTTGATGTTTACTCTCTCCAATACAATTTAATTCAAGCGAACGGTGCACACATGTTAGGTATACAATGATCCCTTTTACCTATCGTGACCGGGAAACAGATTCCCAGCAATTAATATGCCGCCTCCCTAAACGGTTCTTACTGCGTGACTATTTTATGATATTTAATTGAGCAATCAATTATATAGGTCAGTTTGTTGACTGGAAATGTAAGTTTTTGTTTCTACAAATAAATGTACAAAAAATAAATATACTAATTGTATGGTAACAGTCTCCTTCTAAAACATGGTACGTATGTATAGTGAACGGTACTCGAATCACTAAATATTCATATCACTGATTGATGGACATTCTGTAGATTAACTTGTGATAACGCTATTTCTTTTATTCTTTAAATTACAAATTATTATCGGTCATTGCCATGACAGTGATGTCAGTCCAAGGTCATAGGAACTTGAATCATTTTATAAAAAACGATTTCGAACGTTTTAATTAGGCGTAAGCTTTAAATAATTGACCTACATTTTCGCGATCAATTCTAACAATTGAAATAGTTGGTTTATGCCTATAATTCCAAAGCAGTTTTTATCACGACCATAATCTGCATAAGATGTTACTTATTTTTTCTTTATTAGTCGTAAGTTATATTTAGTACCATTTTAAGTATAATATAATGAAGTACTTGTATTATATTTCAGGAACTCAAAACGTACCGATGCCCCCGCGGCCGTCGTCATCGCTGTCGGACGGCGGCGGGCCGGCGGCGCGCGGTGCAGGCCCAGCGGGCGCAGCGCCCGGCGCCATGGTGGCTCAACCCTACCATCATGCTTACAAGCCGGCGCACTACCCGCCGCAGCCCTACGGCTATCCGCCGCGCAACCACCACCCCTATCCCTACGCCGGCTACCGGCCCGCACCACCGCCGCATCCTCCGCACCCGCCGCAACACTATCCGCCCCTAAAGGTATGCAAATGTCTCTTTTGATGGCATGTTTAATATAGACTTCTTTAGATTTTGTCAAGGTACATGACAAGTATTGTATACAGGGAGCGCGACATATGGGTCCCCCCGGCGAGGCGATGCCGCCCCCGGTGGCACCAGGCGAGCACGACAACGGGCCCGCCGCACCCGCTACCGCTCTCGTCACCACCGGCCCCGACGGCGCGCCGCTCGACGAGGGCAGCCAGCAGAGCACGCTCAGCAACGCTTCCGCTGGTACTTGTAAACTATCGCATAACCTGAGCAACCCACAACACAGACTGACTGACAGACATTTGTGAAAATGTAGTGTTAGTCGCTGAATAATACGTTCGAAGACTCATCTGCATAATCAGTGTCGCATTGTACTAAGTGATGACGGCGCATGTTTCAGCGTCGGGCGAGGAGCAGTGCGGGTCGAAGGGGCGCAAAGAGGTGGGCGCGGGAGGCGCGGGCAGCGCGGCGCCCTCGCCCTCGCCCGGCGGCGGCTCGCACTCTTCCATGCACGACGACTACGACGCGCCCGCCACCTGGCGCCCGCCTTCTAGTCCCGTGAGTCCGGCTCCGGCACAATGCCACACCACACTACACTACACTCAACACTACCATTATGTTATTCACCATATATCAAAAATTAAAATCAAGCTAAAAAGTGGCAAAGACTAGAGATTGCAATTTTATGCAGTCTAAAGATGCTTGTTACAAAATTATGTAAATAAATAGAAAAAATTAATACACTTATAAAACTCAATTTGGTACATGAAAAAGAACTGAATTTACACTGTGACTATTTGAACATATCATTGTCAAAGATAAGCTTGTCAAAGATCTTAGAGAGTCAGCTTATGATTGGGCTTATCTTTACATGATCAAAGCTTGGCACACTGAACACCACTACCTACATATATTATGTATTCACATCAACTGATATGCTAATCGATGTGACTAATTTGTACCCCAACTCCTAGATAAATAACTTTAATTGAATAACTCACCGATGAACAAAAATTATCACTTGTACTCCCACTTCTAAAGTCACCAAGGAAATCTATAACTGGGGATATTTGAGAAATATTCATGTTTGATTATGTTTATGTTTAGTGAAAAAAGAAATAATTTCTTGGTAAAATATTGAATATAAATAAGAAAGTAAATGATTTTTGTTCTTTGGTTTGATTATTGGATACTCCATAATGGTTTTTTTTAGTTTAAAATACTGCTTGTTGTGTAGTGTGGGAGTGAGAGGAAGGAATTGCATTATATGTAATGTATTTCAGGTGTTTAACAGTCACATACCGCCGGAGTCCTACAGATCAAAGGTTTATATCAAGTCAGATAGTTGGCATGTTAGCTCCTTTATAACTATTCTAACAAATAACACATCACTGCATGTAGTATCATTGTCCAGTTCCCTCATTATATGTTTTTACTGCCGAACTCAATAATCCAACTTTAGCATCGATATGGGGAGTTTGATAAAGTGCATTCGCTGCGAAGCGAATTCGTAACAATCTTCTAAAATGTATAGAATTGACAATAACTTTCGATAAGTCATATGACTGTCGCGCGGCAGTTTCATACATTTTTGAAGTTATGGTTACGCTATGGAATCGCTTTGAAACGAATGCACTTTGTGTAACTTCGTTGAAGATTATTTTAAAAACTATAAAAATGTCAAGTATTATTGGTTTGATATATATTATTTAGTTCGGCCCTTAGTAATGAAGTATGTTTCTAATGTTGAAAAATTATTTACGAATGATAGTAGCTTGCATAGAATTGATTCCACAACATAGAGAACAAGAAGTTATTTCCAAAGAAAAAAACTGAAATTATTCAAACAATTAAGACTGAGTTTACTGTCTTACTCTCATTTTACTCTGACACAAGAAATTCTTTATCCACTCTAATTTAACACATTCAATGGCACTACGATTCAATAAACTCCCAAGTCGGCGACTCTGCTGAACGTGTTAACATCCAAAAAAAGAATATCGTCTAGAGATGAATGAAATCAATAAAAAATATCAAATCTTGCTTTTTTTGCTAAATTTTGCTTCAATATTTTTATAATTTATGTTGTAACAGCTTTCTTAAATATATATTTCTTTGGTGATGGTTATTGACTGTTATATTTAATACGACTCTACCGCCAATGAGCTGTGACGACGTCTTCGCTTTCAAGCTACTTTTTATTGCTCTTTTATTCTGTAGTTTAATGTATATTAAATCACTCTTAAAACGCCTATGTATCCATTATTTTGAATGTCATGCGTAATGTTTAGTCTTAGAATGGATTATATGTTAGAATAAAGGAAAGTTTATGTAATTAAGACATCATAGTAAAAGATATATTACAATTGTCAAGGATCCGGCATAAAATATTAATTACCATGATCTGTTAAAAATGCTAGAAGTACAGATTAAAAAAAATAGTAAATCATTTGCGTAAATATTTTTCCGATTTTATAGTTTTGACGTCATATACAGTCGAACCTGGACAAGTGGGAGTCAAAGAGACCGCGATATTTATTTCTATTATGACCCAGACAATGACTCCCTGATAGATGTTTCTAGCTTAACCCGGGTTTGACTGTATAACTTTGTTAAATCAAGCAAGGCAGTATAAAATGTTTTTTGCGGCATGATGTTGTATGGGTGCGTATGTGGACAGAAGTCGGACTCGCTGGGCAAGCTGTATGAGATGGATGACGCGCCGGAGCGCCGCGGTTGGGTCGAGCGGCTTCTGGCCTTCATGGAGGAGCGGCGCACGCCCATCGCCGCCTGCCCCACCATATCCAAGCAGCCGCTGGACCTCTACCGGCTCTACCTGCTGGTGCGCGACCGCGGAGGATTCGTTGAGGTATTTATTAAATTCGATTTACTAAATTTCAAATCATAAATGTTAGTTGCCTTTATAACTTCTTTTCTTATAAAAAAAAAATAGAAAATACAACTACAATTGTAATATTTTCATCACTCTTCTAATTTATTTCCGCTGGTCATACATTCATTTGTCGATGGATGATAGTATCGATTTATGTTTGACAATTTTGTATATTATTTAGAGTTAAAATAGTAATCATGTTGATTTGATCATATCCTTACAAAGACACGCAGCAAGTAAACGCCTATATTCAGTTAACATTAAAATTGTAAAGGTGATGCAACCGTGTCTCAATAGCAGTGCCTATGGGCTGATGCAGCTGAGACTAATCGACTACTAGGATTTATGTTGTGCATGTATCGCCGGCTGTGTGCGAACGACCGCCATAAACTTGCCGGCTTTTAACGATAGTTAATAAATTTTTATCATTAGAGCGCTCGCTGAGGCCGCTTGCGATGCACGAACAATGTCAGCGACAGGGATGTTCACTGAAACACAAATATCGATTATATTTTCATGTTAACATCGATATTGTCTCCAATTCGTAATAGTATCTATTTTATTTGTCATATTTTATGGACTTCTAATTTTATAAATGTACAACCGTACGTTTAACCTTATATGCTTATTTTCATAGTCAAACATTTATGTCACTGGGTAATCAAGCGTTACTTAAAGTTGATTGTGGATTACTGTTGAAATTACAGTTAATTTTAACCTTGTGCGTGACACATTTATGTATAATCATATCGATATCAAAAGATAACATCGATACTACGATAATTAATACATTTGAATGTAATGTTTGACTATCGATATTTGTGCGCCGGCCATCCCTAGTTGGCATCCGTAAGGCGAGCCAGTCGATTGGCAATCGCCGAGGGCCGCTCACGTGTCCGCTCTTCGTTGGGAAAACTTTATATTCTCAACCGTCGGCATGGTGAGGTTTCCACTCATTAAATAAACCGAGTTATCGTCTTTTCCGAGGAATATTGTAAAATAGACGGTTTATGTTCTCGCGGCGGACGCGACGGTTCGTGCTTGCGATGTTTGCTGAAAACTTTACACTTGACGTGTTCGGAATATTAGTTCTCGATTTATGTTAGGACAGTTGCGTTTGTGTTGCACCTTCCCGTTGCTAAAGTAATATAATTTTGTTGTGTATATTCATCGCGCAAATCCAATTTCTTGTGTTATTTTCACTTTACCTTACAAATAGAATATGCGTATTGTGTATTTTTTAAGACATGGTATACTATATATACATATATACATGGACACTGTATACCACTTACACTTAGATTAAGTGTAAGTGGTATACAGCTACAAAATATGGGGAGATTGTCACAGTAGTTTATCTTGGAGTTATTTCGGAATGCGAGATAAATTTACTGTATTGGCTCATTCGTTTTTTTTTTACATAAACAGAAATAACAATCAAGCTTCCTAGTTTTCCAATCACAATGATATTTTGTGTACAACTTGTATTGTTATTTTCGTATGTTATCCTAGTAACACATTTCACAGTAATAGAATTTAACACATTGAATATTTGTCGGCCTTTTGTTTAAGTCCGACAGCAATTCATTCTTTTCGTTAAAATCATCGACACAGCCGTGTTCATCGAATTACATTCTTTTTTAATATCCTCAGGTCACAAAGAACAAAACGTGGAAGGATATAGCCGGTCTGTTAGGCATTGGTGCCTCGTCGTCAGCGGCCTACACGCTGCGGAAGCACTACACAAAGAACCTGCTCGCATATGAATGTCACTTCGACCGCGGCGGAATCGATCCCCAGCCTATTATCAACCAAGTGGAGGCTTCGACTAAGAAGAAGGGAGGCAAATCTAATAATACAGCTAGTGCTGGTAAGTTTGAATAGTAAAATGTTTATGTATTTATCTATGGACAGCTGAGGAATCTCAAGTATGAAAGAAATAAAACTCAATTATGTTTTAGCGACTCGTGTAATTATTTTGATATTGTTTTTATCAGCAGGGTCATCGAACTCGCAAGATTCTTTCCCGTCAGCTGGCGGTGGCGCGCCCGCGGCACCCGGCATGGACGGCTACGGCGCTCAGTATGCAGGCTACCCGCCACCCAGCACGCAGCCGCAGGGTAAATACACACACATATCTCACCATACACACATCCACACTCAACTTGTATATAATTATGTCATCTATATTACAAGCTAGGAAAAATGTACGATAGTATCATGTATATACGACACATAGTTGCATAATTCTCGGGTTAGCGTGATTCTAGCTGCACCTTTTGACGCTGTACATGAGCTCTAGGCTAGCACTAGATGACCTAGCGGTCCTAGACCATGCAGACATGAACCGAAGCGTGGCCGCTTGTTTTCTTTATTTGTGCTACTTCCGGCTAACCATGTGTGTTATTCGCTAACAAAATCATGCGTCTCAATGCTTTTCACTAACTCTTCTAATAGCACTATCGATTTAAAGTATTGCCATCGATTCTCATAGTTTATCAACGATTATATAATGTGATATTAGATGGCGGTATTTTGGGGATTATATGAATGGGAATTTACTGATACTTTCCGTTTAGAATGTTTGTGAATTGGAACAAACGAGCAAAGTGTTGGTATAATTTCCTTGTGAAGTAGCGGGTAGAATAAAGCCATGTGGTTGTAGGCGGCGGGCCGGGCGGCGACAACCTCGCCGCCTCCAACCCCTTCGACGAGCCGCCGGGGCCGCGCAGACCCCCAGGTACTTAACCCACCCCCAGACCTCCACCCCCACCACATACACACACACACACACACGTACACGTCCCCAAACACGTGCACATCATATTAACCTTCCTTCATTCAACTTAAAACAATCACAAAAGCATGTCGTAAACAAATAAAAAAGGAATAACATTTCATTAATGACCGCTAAGAAAAAAAAAACACTGAAGCAAGTCATCATTTGGTTACTCTATCATCAATCTTCTGGCAATGTTGGATAAACTCAAACTTTGGGGTCATATTCTTTATAATAATGTAAATATAGATTCACCTCACTTGTACACACTCTGTCCTATCTCTTGCTTGTTTATTCTGGCTGTTTTAATATGTTTGCTGTCCTGTGTGTGTGTGTGTGTGTGTGTGTTGTAAATACAAATGATGCACGATTTTTTTTTAATTATCCACATTAGCGTCTGCAAAATATTAAAATGATAGTTTTATTTATAGAATCGCTTTAAAAATTAGAAAGAAAATCCTAATCCAATGTGGCTAAGCATAGTATAGTTATCTTAGTAGACAACGTGTTTTTTTTTTGTGAATACGCCTGTCTTTTTTATTTAATACTTTTGAGCTTTTTTGTATGTTTTGTGGGACTGTATTATCTTTAAAAATGTTATCTTAAAGGAATTGTATCATGTTTCAGGTTACCAACAAGGATACGGGTACGAATATGGATCTCCGTACCCATCTAATAGGCCTGTTTATCCTCCTTATGGTCCCGAAGGTGATAGGTGCGTAGTTTTCTTCTATTTGGTATATGAACGATATACGATTGAAATAATTCACTGTTATAAAAGAAAAATACAACAAACAAATCGTTTCATACCTTGAATTTGCTTAAGGTTTTGTATAAGTTATATATTCCACAAAATAAGAGTAAAATCTTTAATATATAACTATAATATAATGCAATATGAATGTTGTTACAGAGCGTATGGCAGCGGGGAGTACCGGTACGGGGGGTACGCGGGCGGGTACCGCGCGGGCGCACCGCCCCCGGCAGGCACGCCGCCCCCCGCCCAGCCTTACCCCGACTACTACCGCGCCCAGCCCGCCCCGCATCCGCACCCCCAGCACCCTCAACACCCCCAGCATCCACAACACCCGCAACATGCGCCACACCCACCACATGCGCAGCACTCGCCGCACCCGCAGCATCCGCAGCATACGCCACCTATTGAGGTATGATCATCTGACAATACTATTTGACTTATTCATATTTAACAAGCTGCAGTTATCTGAATATACACTATTGTAAATCAACTCATCCTAGGAAAAAAAATTAAATGTCTTTAAGACGGTCTCATAAGAGTGAAACTTATTTGTCATTTCGTAGGCTGGGTTGACATGTGATCGTTTATTAATGCTGATATGAGGACTCTTAGTCTATATGTTAGTTGCCACATATATCGATTCACTGGTGAATCCATATTTGTTATGGAAATTAATATACGCGGAATCAAATAACAAAACTTCTATGAAGAAAATATCTTCAAAGTAGCGGGTAATGGTTTGTTGTGTTTTCACTGTCGTAATATATGTATAACATCAATATTTCCATCCCTCTAATTGCTTTTGCAAAAATAGAAAAAATCATGTCTGAATACATTTGTTACGACAGTTGAAAGTCATAATAACATTTAGTTGTAAGTCAAGTTTAAATATTTATAGAAATGTCCTTATGCTAAGCTAATTTTAATCATTTCTTTTCAGAATCTTAATTTTAAGTAATTTTATACCAGTTTTATTATTTATATTGAAATGAAATACTAAAATGTTGTTTATTAGAATAGCTTGATTCAATACAATATCAATAATGTAGCATGTTTGTTGTGAATGAGGTGTAATTGTACGTTTAAATGTGCTTTTATATTGCGATAGTGTTTATGGACTGTTTTTATCTAGCTGGAATTGAAAATACCAATTGAAAAATGTCATGCTGTTTGTATAAAAATTGTAAAGGATAAAGGAGTGTGGTTTAGGTTAGGTTGTGTTAGGTAGGTAATGTTAGTGTCGTGACGGTCTGTTTGGTGATGTGTAGATGTCGGGCGGCGCGCAGCCGGCGGTCGGTAGCCTAATGAGCTCGCAGCTCGCGCGCCAGCTGGTGGCGCCGCTGCCCAACAGCGCGCGGCCCTACGTACGGACGTTTGTACCACGCACTCGACACCGCTTCCCATACTATTGGCAACGTACGGTCTCCATACACGCACGCACCGGCCCCGCCCCCGCTCCGCCTCGCCCCGCCCCGCCCCGACCACAGCACACATACGCCCCGCCCATACCATATAAATCTTAGTTGTATCAATGACTTTTCACAAGTGCTTGATCCTTTAAAGTGATATTTGTTTGTTAAAATTTTATAAAAAGAGGATTTAAATTAGAATGAAATCAGGCAACAATCATAAAAATATAATAACTCTCTAACTTGATTACATTAAAAAAAATCAATAAATAAGAACCTCTGTTAACTATTTTCAAAATTGTCATTTGTTGTGTTTCGGCTGGCAACTCGAGCGAGTTGAAGCGATCACAAGTAGAGTAGGAGGGCAGCGGCAGTGGCAGCGGGGAGCGAGCCGGTGGGGGGCCAATCATCAGTGGTTTTGGCTTCATTATATTGAAATAATACCACTCGCTTAACGAAATTTCAGCTATCACTGTTAATTTTTCTTCTGTTTACGTTTTTAACTAAATTTTGGCTTGCGGTGTTATTAATTGGCTTATCGAACATTCCGGACGTCGAAACACTCGGCGGCCGCTCAAACTGTACCAAAACCCGTTTACCTATCAAAATTTAACCAAATCTTTTTAAATGAAATGGAAGTCAAGGTATAGAGTGTGTGGTGGTGGCATTACACGTCGGATTATATTGATCACTGGATCATTTGCATGCATTTCACAGCGGTCATTTAACACGTTCGATACCACCGACTCGTCTGGCGAGTTCCAACGAGTGGCATCGAACGTGTTAAGCTTAGCTCTAAGTGTAACAGAATCGTAGCTTTGTCTATATTGCGGCTACTACATCCTCGGATGCATTTAATTATTGCTGGTTTGTAAAGATTTATGTACATAGAATTGAACACAGGTCTCTTAAACTTGATTTTTTTAAATGTTTGTTTGAAATAAATGGTTCTATCTATGTATGTAAATCTTTAGTGAAGCCTAATTTGTTATTTTGTTATGAGTCATTCGATGGATTGTAAAAATTCATCTCTTTAACTTACACGTTTGGGTTTACGGCTAGCGATTATAACATGTGATGGATTTGATACGACTGTTTCGACTCTCTTCAGTTTTCGCTTTGAGACAACTGTATTAAAACTGCTATATTGACTTTATTAAAAAATAAGTATAGCTTCAGATGTTTAAATAGCTTAACATTATCATCATCAGTTGGTTTAAAACTTAATGCTAAGAGCATTTGGACTTATAAATTTATAAAGGTATTGTGTCCAGTTCTTGCTTTAGTTAAATGTAAGTTATAAAATCAGAGATAGTATTAATCTCTACATAAAAAGTTACCTTTTATTAATAACATCTGTTTAGCATCGTGTCGAAGTTTAAGACATAATGTGGAAACTCGATAGTAATAAAAAAATTCACGTTCCGATTTGTAACGTTAGAACTATGAAGGAAATTGTATCACATAACCTGCATGATTGAATAAAATATTTCCACTACATCATGTAAAGTTTGCCAATATCTATGAGGAGTAGTTGATCTTGTCGATGGATATTATAACATACAATATTTCAGTTGTTTTTATACATGTTATATTATGTTACAGTACGGTGGTGGTAAAGGTGCGAACGCCGGCGCGCCCAGTGGGGCGGGGCCCGTGAGCGGAGCGGCGGGCGCGGTCGCTGGGGGCGCGGGGCCAGCGGGTGCTCCGCGCAGGCACCCGGACTTCGCGAAAGGCGAGCCGTTCCCCGCGGGCGGAGCGCGCTTCCCCGGCCCCGGCCCATGGGGCGGCGGCTTCGCGCGCTCGCCCGCGCCACAGCCCGCCTGGCGCGCGCCGCTGCCAGCCTCACCCGCGCAGCCGCCTGCATGGCCGCCGCACCAGCCCTACCAGCCGCAGGTATGACCGCTGCCAAATCACCTGCTATTGTTTATTTAAACACGAAATGTTTTCAGAACATTTGTTTTTTAATTATAAGCTTGTCATGGCGATTAATTGAATTTTAATCGTTTTACGTGCAGGGTTCGGTGCAGGGCGTAGGAGCGGGCCAGATCAAGCGGGAGTTGACTTTCCCCCCGGAATGTGTCGAGTCCACTGTGCCCACGGGCGAGAAGCGGCGCCGGCTCACCAAGGCGGACGTGGCGCCCGTCGACGCGTGGCGTATCATGATGGCGCTGAAGTCGGGCCTCCTAGCGGAGACTTGCTGGGCGCTAGATATCCTCAACATACTGCTTTTCGACGACAATTGTATAAGTTACTTCGGCCTGCAGCACATGCCCGGTCTGCTAGATCTCCTGCTGGAGCACTTCCATCGGAGTTTGAGCGACGTTTTCGACGCCCCGATGCCGGAGAACGAACCGTGGTACGCGACGCCGACGACCGCCGAACCGCCGGCGAAAGTCAGGCGGAGAGCGGAGCCCCCCGACCCCGCCGACCGTGTGCGCGTGCTTTCCGGCGAGAACTACACACTGCAGTCGCGGCGGCGGCACACCGTCGTGCACAAGAGTGACGAGGACCTGTTTGCGCCCGACGAGTGCGAGTCCGACGGCGAGCGCGTCGAGGACGTGCTGGAGCCGTGGCAGTTCGGCGGCGACACGGCGGGCGCCGCCCACCTCGTGCCCTGCTTCCGCGGAGAGTTCCTGCCGCTGCCTTTCGTGCGACTGCTACCGGGCGAAAGGCCACCTTCGCCTCCCGCGCCGCCGACGCCCGCCGCGCCTCCGCAGACGCCCCCAGATCACGACGTTCAGACGTCTGAATCTACGCAGCCGCCCGACACGCCGACGCCTACACCCACGCCGCCCGATACAGACGCGGACAACCTCGAAGCCGAGCCCATGGACCTGGAGCCGGAGCGGCGGCCGACGCTCCTTATCCGTGACCCGGCCGGCGTCCTCAAGCGACGGCGCCTGGAAGACTACGAGGATGAATGCTACACGCGCGACGAGCCCAGTTTGAACCTCGTCAACGAGACCCGCGACGCCCTGTCCAAGCGCTGCATTGCGCTTTCGAATATCCTCCGAGGGCTGACATTCGTGCCCGGCAACGAAGCGGAATTTTCACGATCGAGTGCTTTCCTGGCGCTCGCGGGCAAGCTCCTTCTATTGCACCACGAGCACGCCCCGAGAGCGGCGCGGGCACGAGCGTACGAGCGGGCGGCGCGCGACGAGGCAGACGTGGAGGCGTGCTGCTCGAGCCTCCGCGGCGAGAGCGAGTGGTGGTGGGACACTCTGGCGCACCTGCGCGAGGACGCGCTCGTGTGCTGCGCCAACATCGCCGGCAGCGTCGAGCTGGCCGGCCAGCCCGAGGCCGTGGCGCGCCCGCTGCTGGACGGCCTGTTGCACTGGAGCGTGTGTCCCGCCGCCGTGGCCGGAGACGCACCGCCGGCCGCCGCGCCCGGCTCTCCGCTCTCCCCGCGCCGACTGGCGCTCGAGGCGCTTTGCAAACTGTGTGTGACGGACGCTAACGTGGACCTGGTGCTGGCGACGCCGCCGCGCGGGCGGGTGGCACAGCTGTGCGCGGGGCTGGCGCGTGACCTGTGCCGGCCGGAGAGGCCGGTGGTGCGCGAGTTCGCGGTTAACATCCTGCACTACCTTGCGGGCGCGGGCGGGGCGGCGGCACGCGAGGTGGCGCTGCACGCGCCCGCGGTGGCGCACCTTGTGGCGTTTATTGAGCGCGCGGAGCATGCGGCGCTGGGCGTAGCCAACCACCATGGCGTGGCAGCACTACGCGACAACCCGGACGCGATGGGCACGTCGCTGGACATGCTACGACGCGCGGCCGCCACGCTGCTGCGGCTGGCCGAGCACCCGGAGAACCGGCCGCTGATCCGCCGGCACGAGCGCCGTTTGCTGTCGCTCGTCATGAGCCAGATCCTGGACCAGAAGGTGGCGCACGAGCTGGCCAACGTGCTGTACCAGTGTAGCCAGCGCGCCGATGAGCCGCGCCCCGAGCCGTAGAGCGCGCGGCGGACAGTTTGTGACGTTGCGGCAGTGTTATGGTGCAGCAGTGTGACAGTGCGGCAGTGTTACGGTGCGGCAGTGTGACGTTGCGGCAGTGTGACAGTGCAGCAGTGTTACGGTGCAGCAGTGTGACAGTGCGGCAGTGCGCGGGACGCGAGAGGACGCGAGTGCTACCGAGGCGGTACGTGTGTATATAGAGTGGGTGGACGTCACTTATAGCGGTCGAGTGTTAGTCTGTACAATCCAATTCTTTTTGTTATTTATGTCCATGATGATTTATTTACAAGAATGTCAATGTGCTATAATCGATATCTTTTGTTCGATTGAGAAACAGATGTATTATAACTCGTAATTTTGATTTTTATAATAAAATGGGACTTGAATCTGTTTATTGGTTTTATGATGGAGATTTATACCGAGTACCTTTGGCGGCTCCGTCTCTCGGAGAAGTGAAGCAGTAGCGGCGAGGAGCTTATGTGGGCTATAAGTTTTAATTAAGTTTAATGTGAATTATTACAATAATCTATAATATATTGAAATTGAATCTGAATTCTTTTCTTTCGAATTGGCATTTCTAACTAACATCTCCTCTTGAACAAAATTATCTTCCCCAATTGAAATGATTTTAAACGAAAATTTTTGTATATTATTTTGTTGGTGGTGAAGACAATGCAATTTGTTAAATGATCAAAACTATACGACTACAGATTGTTATTAAACTCTTAGGTTGCTTGTAATTTTTTCAAATACATTTATTGCAATGATTTAGAATTGCTAACTGGCAATCCTATTAGATAAGACTTGTGTGGTATACGAAGAAGAAATTAATGGATAATAAAAATATAGTTTCCAATTTACAACATAAACATTTTTCAGTTCATATCTACATTTATTTTTTATAACCTACAAACGCGGAAAGAAGCGCAGCATGACATAAATAATAAGTGAAACAGTTTTGGTGTATTTAGTAAAGAAAAAAGTAATCAATAAATTCATTTTCAAGTTTTTTAATTTGTGGTTATGACAGTATTAATTTAGACATTGCAGAAAAGGAATACATACAACATTTGCGATAAAAATATTAAATAGTGTCTTTACAAAAACTTTCTTTACTAGCGTTAGCTCTATATTTATAATTGTTGTAAAAAACAAAATTATTGTGAAAAAGATTGCGTTTTTCGACATTTTATAAAAATAAAAAAATATTTCATGAACATAATAAAATGTTCTGGCAGTTAACAAACTGTCACTGCTAGAAATTTCTTTGGACGGTTCCATTTTCAACATTTTCATGCAAAATTGACACCTTTCACTTACGCCCGTGTTTGTTTGGTCAATGATTTTGTGAAAATTCCGATTTTGCATTTATTCTATAAAATAATCCATTTATCAGTGTTAAGAGTAATGATTAAATTAGATTAAGTTAATTTGCTCTAATGTGTTGCGATCTTTGCGCGGATATCCGATGGAGTGTCAGAAAAGCGATAGCAACAAATTGTTCAAAGTATTCGATGCGTCGAAACGTAAGCGCAAGAAGAAGAAACGCGACGGCCCCGACGACAGTCGCTCGCTAGCCACAGACGACTCTGCCAACGTAAGTATCTCTTAAACAAACAATAACAATTTACAAAACGATAATTGTACTGCAACCTTCTTTCCATCCCTAATCGAACATACAAAGTTTTTGTAAAGGTTGCAAACGTGACCTCTGAGTTATGTTTGACAATATTAAATTAGCAGGCGTCGAAACAGAACGGACGGAGAGTTTGTTCAGCGAAGGCGAGCCTGCAGAACACTTCGGTCGGCCCCACTGACGTCACCGGCAATACCAACAGGTTGCCCCCCACATTATATTTAACATCCAAATCATCATACGAAACACCTATATTTCTATATACCCACATCAAGCCTTAGTTGTTGACATTTTATACGTCAAGTCATAACTTGGACAGATTTGTCATATCCTAAATTATAGAGAAAACACGTTTACTTAAAATATCTTAATTATAAAACGAATTCCACTCAGGATGTTTCGAGTTTATGTACTATACAGTTCATTCAAAATACTTATGTCGTTGTGGTAGTTACACGTTATGTGGCGTACAGGGATAGCAGTCCTGCGATGTCGCAAGTGGACTTGCACAGGGCATCGCGTTCGCCCCGACATCACCGGCGTACTGCGTAAGTTGTTGCCAATTGTACTAAATACAAGACTTCGAAGAATTAAAAAACCAATGATTTTGGTATATTTTTAGGAGAGAGGGAATATCGCTTGCATTGAAGGCCGGCCTGGTCTCCACACCGCGCTCAATGTCTCCGTCTCGAGTATGATTTTACTATTTTTAAGTTATCTTTTATAGAAAGATTAGATCCAGTAGTTGTTGACAAAAGCTGTTGATTTCTCACAAGAATTTTGTATTTTTGAAATTATTAAATCATTTTAAATGTAATGGTTTAAGCTTAATTTAGCATCAAAGGTACATAAATGTAAATTTATTAATTAATTCCGAAAAAAAGGAATATTTGGCTATGTTTTCTCTATTATTAAGTCTATAAAGTATGTAAGGTAAAGTGAGGGTTAAATGCATTAAATGCAATTGTACGAAGGCCGACTAACAGTGCTGGTTTAAGGAAGAAGAAGGTGCTCTCGAGTCCGTGCCACAGGATCAGGATTCCTTCATTTATCAGTTTCTGGAAGAGGCTATTAAGAAAGATAAAAAGAAGTAAGTTGTTGGCTTCTTACAGTTTCATAACACACAGGTTTACATCGGATATACGATATTCTGATATTTATCCAAAAAATATACTAACGACTTTGTGACTAAACCACTTAAAATGCAATATGCATAGATGTGGATACAAAAGCAATAAGCAAAATTATAGAAAGCTTAAATAAAACAGCTATAGACATATCTACTGTTTGACGGTTGACCGGTAGTCACCCCTGACTTAGTGGTAGGTTCCGATCTCCTCAGTGGGGACGTATAGTGGACTGATAATGATGCTTTGATTTGGCATCTCAGGAACAAGAGTAATGGTTTCCCCGGTGTGTCAACTAACTCACCATACGTAGTTGTAAATGAAATGTTTGAAAAGGCAGCGACACCTGCGTAAGCATGAGGACCGTAAGGCGAGCCGCGAGCGCGAGGCCACCGAGCACCGGCATCACCATCGACGTCACCGCGAGGACTCCGCGCCCACTCGGGACCGCGACAACACGTACACACACACTTTGTACTTATATTTACAAGTGTATCATGAGTTATGTGACCAATGCACATTTATTCTGTAATAACTCAGCATCACATGTAAAACGGGCGATGAAGGGAGAAATACTGATTCATGTTTAGTAACTATTATAAACGTATTTCACAAAATTTCAAAGTAACTCGAGAGTATTCTCGGTCTTGCAGGGTCATGAGGAAGAAGAAAGCTACTTTTACTAGTTGGAAAACTACTGGATATTTACTATTTTTAATTTTAATATTTCAGTAATATTTCACGTTCAAAGGACCAACCGCCCGCTCCGGTAATTGATCAAACAGTTCTGTTGGAAACATTTGCAAAACTATGCGCTCAAATAAACAGGAAACCTTCCCGATACAACACTGTTGTAAGTATATTATATCATACTGGGAATACTAGTGTTAGGACATTTCGTTCATTGTCTTTTGGTTTCCAGTCGAGAACGATCAGCAACAAGTCGCTGCAGTGCGAGGTTGCGCCGCGGGGCGAGGCGTACGAGGGGTCAGGCAGCCCCGCCCGCCGCGCCGCCCGCGCACCCGCCTCCCCCTCACGCATCCGCAGCCACGACAACTTCGGCAGCCTGGTGCGTCTGCGCGACACCTACTCCCCCGTCGACGAGCGCAGGCACAACGCCGACAAGTGCGTCTGCTGCTACTCCCAGAACAGAAAGTACAACTGCGAGAGCAAGCTCGACATGCTCAAGTCTAGACCTCACCTCGCCGAAAATGCCTACTACGAGTACGGTCCCAACGTGACGCCGCCCGGCAGCTGCATCGATGCCGGCTACGGGGGCAGGCAGAGAGACTACAAGGACTACGACAGGCGGGAACCGGTGAGAGACAGGTACGACGACAGGAGGAGGTACTGCGAGAAGAAGGCGAGCAGGAGCTTCGAAATCCAGCGCGAGTGCGGCGACGAGCCGCGCGGCACCGCCCGCAGCGACCCGCACAAGGTGAAGCGCGGCGAGGTGCCGAGGAATCGCCGCTACGGAGACCGCAACCGCGACAGGTACTACGAGGACAAGGCGGAGGTGCGAGACCGGATCTACGATCTGTCCAACAAGGAGAAGTCGCGCCGTCACCTGGAGCAGTTCGACCGGCAGTCGGTGGCGTCGCGCGACGCCGACGAGCGATACTCTGAGAAGGAGCGCGACTCCGGCCTCAGCGGAGCCGATGGAGAGACCAGCACCGCCAGCGGCCGCAGCAACTACATGCGAGTTGTTAAGGTGAGTGCACATTCAAAAACATACGATCTCACCCGATAGTCAGGCGACTATATAACTTAAGCTATGTTGTGTCTGCAGCAAGAGATCGCGGAGCAGCGCGAGGCGATGGACAAGATGATGAAGCTGTGGAAGGAGCTGATGCGCTGCTTCAAGGGAATGTCGCAAACGCAGGATAACGATAAGAACGTACAGGTACATAACATATAATTTATGTATAATATATTTACGTTGTAATTGAGCGCCAATAGCCTAATGGTTGAGGGTACGGATTTCCGATCACGAGGTCGAAGGTTTGAATCCCGTCATTCGACTATTGTCGTAACCATATTCTATCACAAGCCTAGAGCTTACTTGGAATGATACAAAAAATATTAGTAAATTAACAAAAAATATTTTATTCTAAAAATAAAAAAAAAATTGGCATTTATATTGAGTTCGTAAGGTATGTGATGCCAATAAGTTACATTGTGGTATAGGATGCGGAGAACGTGCGCGAGTCTGCGGCGGCGCAGCTGCGGCTGTGGCGCGAGTGCATGCGACGCTACGAGACCGTCTCACGCGACGTCGGCGACACCGACGCACGTCTCATGGTAACTGACAAACACGACTCACGACGTTTTGCTTTATCTCTAAATATTAATGCTTTTTAATGTCTAAAGGGACAGGTAACTGGATACAAATCGCTTCGCTGATATTATCCTCATAGACTATTAACGTTTCAAAACCAGGAGGAGATCAATAAGCAGCGCTCTGAGATGGCGGAGATGGCGGGCATGTGGCAGGAGTGCCTGCAGCGCTACCGCGACATGAGCAACGACTTCAACTCACTCAAGAAGCAGCTCGTCAGCCCCGACAGTCCGCAGCGCGCACCCCCGCCCCCGCCACCGCTCTGCGCAGAGGGCGAGCCGCCCACACCACTCTCCTACAGGCTCCCGCCCGCCGCATATCCGCCGGTCAGACTGCGATTCTTTATATTTGTATAATTTTTTTATTAACAGTGATCCCATTACTCCTTTTATTTCTTTACTAGCTATCGCCCACGACCCCGTCCGCAGGGAAATAAAAAAAAACCTAAGAGCCGTTCCTTAGATACCTTTAAACAAACATCCATCCAAACGTTCGCATTTATATTTTTAGTAAGATGTATGAGTGTAGTCGCCGCAGTAGTACTTATATATTGTTGTCTCTGTTTTATCTTAGCGTATGTAAGGGATGGGGAATTTTGTTTTTGTTAAACATATTAATTTGAATTTGATCGTATATATTATAGATTCCATGTCCGATGTCGGCGGCGACGATGTGCGCGCCGGAGCTGCGCGGGCGCCCCCCCTGCCCGCCGACGCCGGGTCCGCCTCAGGCCGCGCCGCCGCCCGCCTGGTGGTGGGCGGAGTCCCCGGCGCGCCGCCGCTCCTCGCCCGACTCCCGCGCCTCCAGGGACCGCAGACATCGCCGCAAGGAACGAGGTAACGTACAAACATAAACTAACAAACCCTAAGTAAATTTCTTTTCTACATGCTTCGCATTATTTTTAATTTTACTGTATTCTACAAATAAGATCACTGGTTTCAAGTATTGAAACAAATTGCTATCTCACTTAGTCTCTGAAAAAAAAATGCAGAAATTGCATTTTTTGGTTCATGTGTTTCGGTAGTGGAATTTTTCTGATTATAATTTTTTCTCCACTTTTATATTTTTTGCAGACGATAGCCGATACAAAGAGAAGCCTTCGAAACCTAACGCCGCCCGCTCCGAGCACAGGCACAGGAAGAGATGAGCTCTCCACTCTGCTCAAACTCATTGAAAATTCCCAGTGCTAACTATTCGGCTAAGTGGCTAGTAATTGTTGTTTTTTTTACACATCTTTTATCATCTTGTACCTGATTTATTTTGAAGTTTTTTTTGTGTATTGTGACCATAATAAAATTTTTAATAATTAAAATTACGTTGTTTTTTTATCTCATAAGTAATTTATCGCAGTCGTCAAGTAACAAAATAAAACAAAGGGATTTTATTTTCATATATTCTCATATATTGTTCTAGTGTAAAAATATTATACAATTGATTCACAGTAACGTTTGTCGTTTCAATATTAAAATGACAAAATTACAACAATATAAATACCCTTCATAAAATAAAAGGGGACAGTTTATTGAAAATATTAGACGATGTAAAAAAACTTCAAGAATCTATGACAGCTATACAAACTGTTTCAAGCAGTTGTTTGCCATACACGAACTACAGCTTGCTGAAGCCGAATAAAAATGTAAAAAGACGAACTGCTTGAAAAAGTCCGTGTGTGGCTGTCCTCATTCTCTCGGATCGTCTCTTTCCTGTAGTCATTCAAGTGCCCAAACTCCTCGGGCAAGAAGACTTAAGAGGCCGAGAAAATAGACTCGTAAATATTTTATTTTTTATCTATATAATACAAAAAATATCAAGAAAACTGATATAGTCTAACACCTGAAATAGTTAGATAAAAATTAACAATGATTTGGTATATTTGAAATATTAAATTGATCTGGAATTCAATATTGTAAACAAATGGAGACCATTCAAATGTTGTAAGAAAATTGGCGGCGAATATAAACGAGAAAATCAATTTAAGTATTTTTTTTAAAATAAGGTATTATATGGGAAATAAATCTTATTGTATTTAACATTACAAAGTAAAAACCGAAGATTTTCATGGACGGAGAAATGTTACCTACTTCGGTTTTACTTGTTTTAACTAAAAAATACTAGATATAAATACGAAGGTTAAAGGTTCTATCTGAAGTTATGCGCATTCTATCTAGTAATATTTCTGGTTTATATTATATGTTTTTAAAAATAAAATAAAAATTTCATCGCCGCCAATTTAAAAAAAATCCTGAATTACATATGTATTTCTAATATTATACTAACTAGCAATCTTAAAACTAATTTCTCACAAATGTAAACTTAAATTCTACCTGACTTCACATCTCTACCTAGAACTAATAATCTTTAAACCAAAATAATAGTGTTACAATAAACAAAATTAATATGAATAGTTCACACAATAATTCGCAAAGCACACAAATTGCATACAAATGTATGATTACGTTTTTAGCGACACAAGATTATGACATAGTTACGTCACATTTCACGTTTAAAATAACAATATGGCTCATGAAAAGTGCCTTTATATGATTTTTTCTCAATTTTCAACCTTTATGGTAGGTTTATGACATCAAAATCTCTGTGTAAATGTAATTATATTTCACAAAACAGAGAACAATATGTTTTAAATGAAGATTTTGGTCTCAGAAAACTCAAGGGAGTTAGCTTTCTTAGGAAGCATTTTAAAGTAGAGCGTCGGTGGCTCAGTGGTTTCAGCATTTGACTTGTAATCTGCAGGTCCTGGGTTCGAATCCCGCCATGTACCAATGTGTTTTTCGATTTTCGATTTACATATGTACATTAATCCGACATTCTTACGGTGAAGGAAAACATCGTGATGCAACCTACACATATCCGATAAGAATTCAAAGATGGGTGAAGTCAACCAACCCGCACTGTGCCAGCGTTGTTGACTATGACCTAGTCACCCCTAACTTAGGGTAGGCTCCGAGCCCCTCGTTAGGGACATATACTGAGTTGATGATGATGAAGGTTTTTAAAGTACACGTAGTAAGATTTGAATGTGACAATAAAATTTGCACGTATTTGTAAAATCTTCGTTTGTATGCACAAGTTATTTTAACATAGTACTTATAAGTAATAGTGGAGTAAATATGAGGCAATATATGTAGAATAACACACGGGCTTCTGACAAATGATAAATACTAATATGAGTCATGCTATAAAATATACTAGGATAAAATAAAAACATAAATTAATCCGAAATCTGACATGCCGGGATATACATTATCTTACATATTAACAAAATATCACGATAGGAAGAAAAAACACTTCTAAAATACGGTTATTTCTACAAAATCATTTTCTATAATAAATTGAAATGAAATATTTAACAGGTTCTTTTCTGTTTCCACATTTTTTTGAAGAAAAAAAAATGTATTTTTTGTGCACATCTCAATATGGATACATAAAATTTTACACGTTGAGCGCCGCGTTAGCCATCGGTGGCTGACACTAGACTTTCCGTTTAAGCCGCGTCAGCCATCGTTGGCCGACAGCTTGTAACATAAGAACTATAAATTTTTTAACAATTTGCGTCAAAAATGTAAACTATTTTGTACTGCGATCGGAAACACCGGCCTTTTAATACCAGTGCGTATAAGCAGCGCTCGTGGCCTGAACGGCATTGTCTTAGAAATACGCGTGGCGCTCAACGTGTTAATGATATAAAATGCATTACCTTTGCACCTTTATTATGTGTATTGGTGAGACAAGTCAATACTTTATTATATTGTTTTTAGTAAAAGTTTGGCAACAAATATCTCTAGTACTATTTAAATAAAAATTAAATACTCTATACATTCGTTGTAAAGGAATCCTATTAACTATTGATATTTTAGTTTGTGAGTCGTAGAAAAAAAATCCAAAATGTGAACGAAATTTTCTCTACGACATTCACATTCAGCGCATACAAAACTGTATACATTTTAAATTTGTCTTGAAAGTTACCAAACGCATTAAAACTGGTTTTTAATTTTTAATTTATTCATTGTTTTCTTTAGTATAGTGTCGAAGTTTCCGTTCACATTATTGTGTTTTTAATTAATAACCTTGTGCGCAAAGGTGACATTCGTGTTATTTTCACTTAGGTAACTTTTTAGATTTTTTTTCACCGAATTCGGTCATGACTTATGTACACAAAAGTATCTTAAAAATTAAAACTTAAATTCTACGGATTTTAATAATAAATATAGTGTAGAGCGTACAACACATGTTGATTGGTTACTGTTCACTCTGCATTCACTAAAGTCCAAGGAAACCGCCGCTTTAGTAGACCTGGAATATAAAAAATGTTGTGTTAGAAAATAAATTGCTAATAAGATGTGTTTCATTCCAAAAAGATATACATCTTAGTCCTCGCCTGGTCAAAGTCTGCTGGACTGTCCTCATCATCATCAACCTGCCATCATCCCTATTGGTGGTCGGCATAGTATGTACTACTCCTCTATACATCTCTATCGGCCGTCATATCGGAAACTACCCCCTTCCTACGCATATCCTCTCTCACACAGTCATTCCATACTTTTTTTGGTCTTCCTCTACCTTTGCAGCCATGCACATTCAATCTTAGCCTGCTGGGCTGCCCTATTTAAAAAAAATCTTTTATGTTAAAATATCTATTCTTGATGTTTATATATTGAAGGAAGGAAGGAAGAAGGAATGCTTACACATTGTACTTTGCAAAGTTTTTTTTTTGTAATTATAAGTAAAAAATAATCACCTTAACACCATAAGCCATTTCGTAGCCACCTTTGCTCTGCATCTGGTTCTGTATCGTATGCAGCAATGATGATGGCATGTCCACGTCAGTAGACCCTGGAATGACAAACAAATTAACTTTACGAATAAAGACATTGTAAATGTCGTTGAAATCAAAAATTATAAAATATTATTATTATTATATTATTATATTATATTCTAAAAGTATGAAATATATATCTTCTTAAATCTACTCTCATATTTATTCAGACTAGAAAATTCCAGTTTGTCAACTTTGAATATGTCTCAAAAGGTCTTTCGTCTGAAGATGTCTCGTGCAAAAATGGTAAAAATACTGCAGTGGTATTTTTTTCTTCATCAAATGCAGCGAATTTTTAGCACATATTAAAATAATAATAAGACAATTACTATTAAAAAGTTTTTTATGATTAGTATATAATAGATTTAGATGAATAACAATAATTAAATAAATATAGTTAAAGATTTTGTCCGTCTAATCGGATTATTTATTATCGTTCATTTACTTTATATATAACCTAAAGATGTTATCTTGAAGATAAATAAATTAATTAAAAATGTATGTAAAACAATTTAGAAACATTAACATATAATACAAAAGAGTCAAAAAGTAAACATTTATGAAAAATTAAAAAAAAAAGTCAAAATATTTTTTATGTTTATAATATAACTAGCTGTCGCTGACTCCGTCCGCGTGGATATATAAAAAATCTTAATTAGTGTGGTCTATGTGTTCTTTCAGACTATGTTCTATACGTATGCCATATTTAATCGAGATCCGTTCAGCCGTTCTAGAGATATCTTCAAACACACATCCATCCATCCACATCACCTCCATCTAAACATTTGCATTTATAACATTAGTAAGTTAAATAAAAAGCAGCTCTTCAAGGCATAAATTCGAAAAAAAAATGAATAAATAGTATCCTATATCCGTCTCCTGGCTTTAAGCTACCTCCTCACCAATTTTCGACCATATCGGTAAAGCCGTTCTTGAGTTATAAATAGTGTAACTAACACGACTTTCTTTTATATATAAAGATATCATTTCAACGTACTTTTTCATAACCATAGTTATTGTAAATGAACTAGGTTACACAAAAGTACGATGTTTCAGAATAATTTGCATACACAAGTAACAATTGAAAATTGTTTGTTCAATAAAGCGTATGTTAGGAAATTATAATTAAGCGTTGTAATGCAGAACAGTTTAAAGATAGTAATCGTTTTAAGGCGTTAGGCATTTTATTGATTACACTTATATTTGCAAAATTGTTACTTAAATAAACCCTTAGTATAGATAGTTTTCTCGTAATAAATAGTAAATCTAAATAATTTACCAATGATGATTTTAAAAAATTGCGAAAGTCAATCATCTTGTTGATAAAATTTCATTTAAGACAATTATTTTTATTCAACAAAAATTTACATATTCTTTTCTACGACTTTTATTGATATCATTTGATATTTTGCTATTCAATTAGGTGATTTAACAGAATGTCGTTGTAATTTTCTTTGAGGTCGTAATGTATTTGTCTTATATTTTATTATTTAAAGAAGAAGAAGGGAGGATTAGTAGATATTTGTTAGAAGGTATCACCAGGCTACATGGGTCTCGCTGAAATTTGTCTGGAAGAAGACATAGACTGCTAATTAAGTTTTTCAAATCCGTGCAGACAGAATCATGGGCGACAGCTTATAGCTAAATCAATTGTCAACTATGTCCCTGTTTAGAAACGCAATAATTAGTCATCAAGGTGACCTTTAACAAACAATAATATTTTAATTCAATTAACCATAATACCTTTTATCTGGTACTAGTATCTAGTATCTATACAGTATAAATGTTCATTTTAAATGGCAAAATGTTCGTGACTACGTCAAGGTACTTAGACGTCACATCGTGAACGAAATCATCTTGACCCTGACCTCAACCCTGATATCAAATATAAACAAATACTACTTGAGTTTAAAAATAAAAAAATAACTAAGGAGCTATAGTCAAACTAAGATAATTCTGCAATGAATTGAAAATAGTGGAAATTAAAAGTTTGCATATGGCAGTATTGGTTAACAAACTAAGCACTACAGACTATCAAACTTTTTATAATTAAATCTTACTAATATTATAAATGCGAATGTTTGGATGGATGGATAGATGTTTACTAGGAGGTATCTTCGGGAAGCATTCACTGAAATTAGTATATGTAGAACATAGGCTACTATTTAAGTTTTTTTTTTAATTCCGCTCGGAAAAAGTCTTGGGCGATGCCTTTTAATTTTTAAAGTTTTACAGTAGAGCAAATGAATGTTGTATTAAACAGATAAAGATATAAATTTATTATGACATTAAAACAAGAATATTATATAAAAAATATTTCTATGTACACAATGGCTTGTCATACAGATAAAATATCACAAACAAAACGCCATTTCACCTTTACAATTGAAAGTTTAATTTTTGTGTTGTATTGAAAAAAAAAACGCAACGATTATTTTCAACAAATGAATAGACATAGAATCTCACGTATTCTCAATACAATAGACTAGAGGGCAATGTATGATTTTAAATATCGTGGGACCAATCATACTGTTATACCTAGAAAGGTAAAGCGAGTACAATCACTTTTATGACAAACTACAATTAAAGTAATTATTGCCTTTTAATACGCTATTCAATCGTGTGAGAGAAAATTTTATACAAAAAGTGAATGAATAATTAGTATGCTGATAGACGTGATTCAGTATGTATGGCCAGTTTGACCATAGATATTTAATAGTGTTAGAGGAATAACATCTATATTTTTAATTATTTGGCTAGACGGGTAAAATATGACGTCCTTGCAGACAGGGGGGAAATAGACTAGTCTGTGTTTTGAATATGAAGTGGTCCAAATTCTAGTCTAGAATATTAAGAGAAGGTAGATGAACGATTAAAAGGAACTATAGTAACTGCTTGCTCATTTGTCGTAAAATTTAAAAAAAATGCGTCATGAAATAACCTAATTCGCTTTGTACTGTTATAAAGAGACTAAAACGGGGATGGTTTCTGTAATAATAATCCAGCTGGACTTGATTAATGTGTATGTTTGCGGCGTGACCCATATCAGTCTGTTGCGTAACCGACAGCGGTAAAAATGAAACGATGTTTTGTGTCCGCGAGAATTAGGTCGGATTGTGTTACCACATCAAGTTAATAAGCACAACCGGCTGCCATCTTATATTAAATTAATTTTATGTCTAGCTGTCGCCCGCGAGTTTGTCAACGCGGTATTGAAAAAAAAACATAATTAGTAGCCTATGTGATCTGCCTGACCATGTACTATAAATATGCCAAATTTCATCAAGATCCATTCAGCTGTTATGGAGATACCTTCAAAGAAACATCCATCTAAACGTTCGCATTTATAATATTAGCAGGATAGTAGGATAACATACCGAAAGGAGACGTAAAAAATTGTGAACAAACAAAATGTGTTACATTTTTTAGAATTTTTAATAAATTCGATACATAATCATTATGTAAAAGTAAATATTGATGTGGAACAAAATGGTTTTACGGGAATGTTGGAGTTCTAGGCTTTTAGCGTATATATGTAATTATTTTTATAATAAATCAGTCGGTTTTAGAACCTTAAAGTTAGCATAAAATATATGATAAATAATTAAGTGAAATGGGAAACATTATATATCTAAATTAAATATTTAACTGGACTTTGTTTTGATATCGCAACTCCTGGAATTCATCATCATTAAGGTCAACATTGTAGGCGTTTTCTATAACATTAATAGTGTTATTATAGCTTGAAAGTTTTATAAATTGATGAGCTTTTAGCTGTAATAGATGGACTTGGGCCTACACCTTCAATCCATTACGCCTCTACTTTCGAAGCGACTATAAGAAATTTGCTAAGTCTTATTAAGTGATATAATTTTTATATTACCAACCAATATTCTACGTTATGAATGAATAATTTCCAAATGTAATATACTCTCCTCTAACCTCTGCTATACAATGCCAAGTACTCTACTATGGTATTGAAGTCAAAGTAAAAATTCCCAAAATGGTAATAAATATTACCGATTAAAAAGTAATCTGACAAGCGCTACAGATTAGAAATACTATCTTATGTTAAGAATTCACAGCTATGGTACTTTTTTGCAAATATAAAGTAATTATTTTTTATGATGATGGAAATCAAACCTGTGCTCTTATGTTTTCCTTAATAGATTACTAGGGTATTAGCGCTTAATATATCATTCATAGGTATATTAGAAAGTTCGTAATCACGGTCTCTCGTGTGTACTTTCCCATGGCCAATGGGGTCTTAAATTATTTAACGCAAATACACTCTGTATAACGCATATAGATTAACAAGAAATTTTATCATTTCATACTCTAATTAATATAGATTTAGACGTAAGTAAACAAAGGCATCATGTTGTACCTATTAGCATGTTGTATGGGCCCTAGACAATATCGTTTAAGGTAAATAGTTAGAAACGTGGAATAATTTAGCTCTCTCATTACTAGGAAAGTATCGGTAAGGAAAAACTGACAAGGATAATTTATACTGTTTTTAAACAAAAGAAGAAAGAAACATAAACTAAATTACAAGAAAATATTGAAAATGAGTATTAAAATCTAATTTTACTTTTTATTTAGATAAATGGATGGATGGTTGTTTGTTACAAGGTATATCTAGAACGGCTCATGGGATCTTAATTATTTGACACAGATGTAGAACAATTTCAAAGAACACATGGGCTAATAATTAAGATTTTTTTTATTCACAACTAGTTTTTTCAATAAATCGAGTTATTTTTGAGGCACTGAAAAGGAATCTAGTTATTAATAGCAATCATTATTGTCCAAACAAAGTTATGAACTTATCGTAGTTACTTAGTTCCTATAAGTAATTGCGAAAATAGTTTGCGATGTTAAAATAGCTAAGTTAAATTCCAGAGGCAGGCAGCCCTACATGAGTGGCTCGCTTCCTTAGCGATGACTCAGTAAGCCACCGAACTCTGCTGCTATTTCCGACCTTCCTACCGATATATAAACATACATACGTTGGTCTATTGCAGTTTATAGAATACATAATAAATCATTGAAATATACCACGATTCAAAGGTTTAATTCAAGTTGGATTAGAAGAACTGTCTTAATTAATAAACGTTTTTGGCATGTATTTAGACAAAAAGTGGAGTAAAAACTCAAGTGAGTGGTTTTGTGGATGTTTTGGCGTAAATATTTCAAATGGTTAAATTGTCTTACTGAATCATCTTCATCTCATCACGATTTGATTTTTTTTTGTTTTATTTTAGTAGTTAACAAATGTTTAAATTGTGTGCTTATAAAGTAACAAAAAAGAGCCCAAGGTGAGCTAATAAGAGAGCATTGAAGACGTAAGTCACGATCATGACTGATTTTTAAAACACAACAGTCGTGGTATTATGATTTGGTTTTTATAAGCGCTTTTTTTTATTCAGTAGCGTTTGCGTATGATGGCCAGAAATAGTTAAATGTGGCCAGTTTTATTTTTAACCAGGTTAATCCACCTATAGCTTGGCATATATCAAAGAGGTACGTTTGCGAAATACAATGTTTGATAAAGATTTTTAAGTTGATTCTAAGAGTTGATATGATTTTTGTTTCTCTGTAACACAACTCTTTGAGGTAACTTATTAAACAATAGGGGAACTTTCTTTCTTTGTCATCTTTACCTTTTCTTTCCTTTTTGTTTTATAAGAAAACTGCAGATTTACAATCAATCATTAAAAGATTATGACAATCTAGACTTAATAATATACGTGAGTTGTCGTGCGTCGATTTTTATCGTAATTATCAAGAGCAATCAATTTGCGGAGACGGATTAATTGACGAATTGTTCTTATCTAGTTTTTCTTCGGACCTTTGTTAGTGGTACTCAACCAGTATGTTACAATGAGTCTACCTATCCACTTCCTATTAAAAATACTGCAGAGAATAAACTAACGAATTTGTAATGCGTTTGCGTCAAATTGTAAAAAAATGTTGTTGGTTAGAAGAACTGATTAACTGTAGATATAGGATAATTTGAAGACGAGTTACCCTGACTACGCACAACTAGTTTTCATTAGTGGTTGTGTTCTGACGTTTTTTTTTACGTTTGATAAGCCAGCGCTTGACCACGATCCCACCTGGTGTTAGTGAAGATTTGGTCGAAAGATGGTACGCGCTAGCTTAATAAGTGCCTATTCACTGTACGTTACATTTATTGTACCAAACAAGGCCTGTGTTTAGGGTTGCCAACATTCTGGCTACATTTTTAACATCGGTCTTCATCGGTTTCCTGGTTAAAGTGGGTGGTGTGAGGCAAGTAAGTCTAGGCCTCTTTCTTTTGTTCGTCTTCCAAGCAGTCTAGGGTTGATAAGTCATAACTTGTTTTCGTTGCTATTATTCGTGCTTACATTTATTGAATGGCAACCCTATGCGCTCCGTCCGGTTGTCTGATGCCAAATTCGGAGCGCATACGCATCTTCATTGAATTGTAATGACGCTTTATGTAAGCGTGTGCATTAGAAATTGTACCTTATCATAATTACTTTAAAGTTTATAGCTTTATGCTTTTTATAGGGTTTGCTTATTAATGTTTAAAGTACAGGACATGTTTGTTGGGATTTATTGTTTTGAAAGGAAAGGTGCACGGCAATAATGGTGGCATTAGGCAAATGTCTTTGTAACACCATCAAAGACCTTATTTTTTATATATTGGCAGGTGAGGTGCACCTTTTATTACAAGGTGTTGTAAAGTAACTAAATGTTTTAGTCATTTGAAATTTAAATAAGGTTTTTAATATAATTAACCTATTTTAAAGAGAAATCCTGATATTGTTGTAAATTATTATAACTGCAATAAGTAATATTGCTGTTTTTATTACGGTAATTTTCTACATACTTCTCATACGGGGTCGTTTACATTGTATTCGGGAAGGTTACGAGATATCGATATGATATCGAGATATCGATACATTGATGATAGATAATCCGATTTGAAGTGACACTAGAGTTGGATAAGATATCTCGGATCAGCGGTGCTTGTGATTGTTACGTCAATACGATATCCAGATCACAGGAGAGAAAGTTAGGCAAAGGTAAGAACATGAATCTGCCACGCTGTCTTACTGTGAGTTTTCACTACCGAAACACGTGTACAAAAACACATTGTCATCTCTTTTATTACTTTTAACAAGATATATTTATAATTAGCTTATATTACTGAATTTCCTTACTTATAAGGTAAAGTTTTGCATGGACATGTATGGGTTGGTTGTTGTATAGCGCTCAGTCTTGTTCTATTTAAGTATAAAAGATACTACGAATAAAAAAAGTTTACTTAGCACATTATGAGTGTCTAAGTTGCGCATGTGTGCGTCATGCGTAGTAAAGTTTATTGAACCCAGTTCTTCCACTGTCTTGTGCATTTGTGACAAATTATTAATATCAAACTAGCTATCGTCAGCGACTCCGTCCGCGTAGTTATATAAAAGAACTTAATAAGTGTAGCCTACTTGTTCTTTCAGATTATGCGTATGCCAAATTTAATCGAGATCCGTTCAACCGTTCTGGAGATATCTTCAAACACCCATCCATACATCCACATCTCATCCATCTAAACATTTGCATTTATAATATTAGTAAGTTAAATAAAAAGCAGCTCTTCAAGGCATAAATTCGAAATAAAAAATGAAGTATCCTATATCCATCTCCTGGCTTTAAGCTACCTCCTCACCAATTTTCAACCATATCGGTAAAGCCGTTCTTGATTTATAAATAGTGTAAGTAACACGACTTTCTTTTATATATACATGTTATTTATATGCGTTTATTTTCTTAATGATTACAATTAATCTCTCAAAATAACTGATTAGTTTCATATAGGTTTTGAATCTCTTGGGATCAAATTTCAATGGGTTATTTCTTATCTAAAGGATAAATCGTCTGTTACATAGACACTAAGACATTATCTGTCTCATATAGTTCAAGAAAACTGCGTTATTTAATAATTATTATAATACAGTTATTAAAAACGTTAAGGAACTACATTTATATGTTCCTGTGATCGTTTAAAGTAAGGATGTAGCAATGAGGAAGAGACAAGAAGGACGTGGGGCAAGAATTTTGCTTACTTAACTGTCCGTAATACTTCAAAACTTAATTAGTAGCCTCTATGTTCTTCTAGACTAAGTTCTATATCTATATTACATTTCAGCTACATCCCTGCAACCGTTCTGGACATAACTTCTAACAAACATCCATCCGTGAAAACATTCGCATTTATAATATAGATAATATTATTCTTTAAAACAATGCAATAATATAGAAGTGTCAACATTTTAAGTTATGGGTTGTTATGGTAACGTGAAAGCGAAGTTATGTGAACAAGTTAGATAATAAGGACCTGTTTTTCGGACCTCAGTTGTCGTCTTGAATTTATAATGCTCATTATCAAGCAGCCGTCAAGTGGAAATTTATGTTCAATTGTTGTTTTTTTTTGTGAAGAAAGTGGAACAAATCGAAGATGTATGTAGCTTTGATATTCAGTGACTGTAAACATCTACGTATTCGAACAGTTGAAGAACAAAGAAGTAAAATTGCCTCAGTTCTTTTTTAACTTCAAGATTTATCCTGTCTACCAGATTGAACGTCTGTGTTTAAATGGCAATGCAATGTAGTCTTAAACTTGTAATAGTGAGGTGAAAGCCAGGTCTAAAAGTTGACATGTGTTTTTAAAGTTTTTGATCAAAAGAAGTTCAAAGTTACGTGGTAAAATTTGGTTAACCTTTTTCATACAGAATATTGAAAAACAAAACAATATTAAATTAGAGTAAAAGACAGTATAGCTAAGAAGTAGTAGAAAATGTTACCAAAGGACATTTCTACTCTAGGTCTTATTGTAGAATATACAATCCAACTAAAAAAAAATCTTACCTATGTGTCCCGTATGTTGGAAGTTCGTAGGTGCTCCGATCATAGAGCGGTCTATTCTTCGCCGCGTGCGCTGCGCCTGCGCAGCCGGCTGGTAGCAACACGCGAACCACTGCAGCCACATCTCACTGCCGGTCGTCGCCATTTTGTCACACAAGTTCACTGCACTATCACAAAATGACCGCCTCAAAATGGCGCTCACTTGTAGTCTATTGAATTTTATTACGAAATTTGTTAACCCACTATTTAATTCTTTTACGAAACTTTTAAAGTATAGAAACGGATGTGCGCGTTTGTTTTATATTTATCAAGATCTCGTCTTAAATGGCGTAGCGAGTGTTGTATGATCCTTCGCGCACTGATAACGTCGCCGGCATGGCTCCCCAGATAAATACTGAAACAAGAGAAATTTATCGTTAAATTCTTTGAATCGAAATATTAGTATAAAATATTTGTTACATCCTAAACAAACGTCACATTAAGATAAATGTTATCAGAAATGGAACTACAAGGAGATTCATACAAAACGAATTAGTTTGCATATAAATTGACGTTATTTCAACTTAATTGATATAATACAAACTTAATCTTTGTTGTTCTTAACTATATCAATATATTTACTTAGCTAACGATCTCATATCTTTGTTTTGTTCTTATTTTATACAAATAGCATTTTTAAATAAAAAATAAACAACTTTAACTCACGAAACTTTGTGTTTGTATCAAGATATTTTAATGAGAATTTTTATGTTTTTTTTTGTTATGAACCTTAATATAATATTATAATGATGATGTTCGATTGCACATTATTCTTTTAATCTTATTTTTATATATAAAGAGAAAAGAAATGCCCCACCACAATGCCTATTCAATTTTATTTATGGCACAAAAACCTCAAACAAAAATATCGCAATAGGCAAATTATTCAACTCATTCTTTGTAATGCAGTTATGTGTAAAATTAACAATTGCTAAATGTGCTAACATAAGCTTCAAAGAATTCAACAAAGGAGCCAAGTGATGTCAACAAGCATCATTTACTATGACTCATGCATTACGTATTAAGCACACTAACGACATTGCCTGTGCAGGATTAAAAGTAGCCCAAAATATTCCGGCGTGGATCAGCCCCACCTTCCCGTCAAAGTCATATCGAAATCGGTCCGATCGTTCCAGAGATTATTTGGGAGAAACGCGCTCTTGCCGGCAGACATACAGACAGACAAAGTTTTCAAAATTGGTTTCACGTTATAGGTAAAGTAAATGCGTCGCTCTACGAAATTCTATTTTTTTCGAAACAATATAGAGACATTCCAATTAGTTCTGGTGTTGTTAACCTACACAAAATATAAATTATTATAATAATAGCACTAAAAGTTCCAAAGCGAATCCAAAAGTTTTTAAACAAAAACACAGTACGTCTTTTACCCTAATCTTCGTGAACTCCTTTGTAAACAAAACCTTTTTTGATTAGCATATATTTTTTATCGCCGAAGCCGGGACGGGTTGCTAGTCATATTAATAACGATATCACAATTTGTCTTTTAATCACTATTTTTCCTACAGACTTAAATTACTTTAGCCTCTATGACGTACGTGTTCAAAGCCACGGTCAGTTGCGAGTGGTAATTAAAAGTGGTCACATTAAATTTAAGTACCGTAAAGATAAGAAACCATTAAACGGTTATCGGTCACCGTGGCTTTTGGTTTACTTTAGATAACCCAGTGAAAGTCTAAATTATACCGTGCATCCTATTTGAAATGAACCATGACATAAAGGAGGAAGTACGCTTTTAGAATACAATGATAGATGTTCGTAAATCGCAATTGAAAGTGGTACTATAAAACAGATGACAACGTACAGTTAAAGTTTGACAAGTAATAAACGCAATGTCATACAAGTTTTGTGTCTATATCAAATCCTTCTTCGTATACTTCATTAGGTCGTGCTTCTTGATATGCCTTTACAGATGCATCGATCAGCTGCCTCTACGCTATCCTGTCTTCGGCTTTTGTCATTCGTGATATTGTCCCAATAAAGCCTATACTTGAGCGGGTAGATGATCGGTCCCGTGACCTTTTAGTGTTTCCAACCACGATTAATTATATCAAATCCTATTCAGACTAATTTCTTTTATTTCGTTCCACATCTGAATTCTATCAGTGATTCATTTCAATCTTAACAGAATGAGAATAATACCTACAAGTAAACTTGAATGTATCCAGATTAGCAGAGGACAGACAAAATAACAAACATTTGCAGAATTCCATGGTAAACATTAAGGGTGAAGCACCTGTCTTGTTCTGACTCAGTGCTCCCACTTTGGAGCTGTGCGTTGTTTTGCAGGAGGGGAAACGTAAGGCGTTTTCACCTACACTTTAATAAGGTCGACGCACGCGAGCACTCGTATAATCCTTTGTCTTCGTTTAACTCTCTGGATAGAGTGTATACTATATTCACGTTTAAGCCTTATTAACTTTAAGTCAAATGATTATCGTTTCTATCTGTTTTCACCGTAGTAACACTTGTATATAAAACATATTGCCTATTCAATCATCCCCTTTGTAATATATTTATTAAAGAAAAAGAAAAAGCATTGACTTTATTTAAATCTGCCAAATAAACCGGTATCGTGTACAATGCGGGTGTTTAATCTGTATCTGTTGAAGACCGCGACCCTGACGACGCGACGGCCTGACGACAGTACGGGAAGGGGACGCTGATAGCATCAACACATCAAGTGTGGGTTCACAACTACGAACATGATGATATCACAGAACAATTTCATTTGTACAAAACATTTTATATTAATTTCAATAACAAATTCTTTTACATTTTAAAAATTTACAACATGTGTATTAGAGTATTAAAAAAAGGATCTTGTTAAACAGGGCATCTAAAAAAATCTAGAAAAACCTTCTATGCCCACGACTCCGTCCGCGCGGGATTAAAATTTAGACAGTAGCCGATTCTCATACCCTACTGAATATGTATATAAAATTTCATAAATATCGGTTAAACCGTTTCGGGGGAGTATGTGTAGTATAGTATTTCCTTTAAAGTTCAAGAATGTGGCCATTACTGTTATCAAGTTTGCATTCGTAATTTCGACAGTATTTAGTTTAATGATAGCGGTAAATAAACTTTCAAATATTGTAAATTCGCGACCAATCGGGGAGACATATCCTTATTTGGATGGTCTAGTTACTGACGATGCCATATTTGTCAGTTTATCAATGATCGACGGACCGATTTATTAAAGAGATAAAAATGCATGAGATTATCTCAAAAATGTCGCACAAACTTCGTAAAGATGTAACAATTGTTTGACAAAATGAGAGACACACAAGTTTGAAGAATGTCAATACAATGATAGTTTACGCGGTTAAAATACTTCTGTTCTGTTTTTATTTTTAAAAAAGGGAGATTTTTGGGGGGGAAAACCCACGGTTAGGATTCAGAAGCAGATTTTATTATAATTTTAAACAATTTAAGAAAACATGGTAAGCACTACTGACAAGTGGTAGGATTATCTAGAATAATTTATAGTCCAAGAGCTAGCTCGTGTCTAATTTTTAAAAGATACATTAAAAAAGAACATCCATGCATAATGTCCGCGATAAGTGAACGGTGTTATAATCGTGCGACCATAATAAGATACAATCGAGATAAAAATGTAAAGAGATTGTGACGAAATTCATGTGCCATTTGTACCACTTTCATCATCATCATCAGCTCACTATACGTCCCCACCGAGGGGCTCGGAGCCTGCCCTAACTTAAGGGTGATTGGGACATAGTCAACCACGCTGGCCCAGTGCGGGTTGGTCCACACATATCTTTGAATTTCTTCTCAGATATGTACAGCTTGCATCACGATGTTTCTTTCACCGTAAGAACATCAGATAAATGTACATATGCAAATCGAAAAACAAATTGGTACATGGCAGGATTCGAACCGAGGACCTGCAGATTGCAAGTCAAGTGCTTGACCCCTGATCCACCGACGCTCTTACCACTTTATTCCATAGCAATGTTATATTAAATAATTTTATTTTGTTCCAGTCACGCTGGACTGGATAACTAACAACCGTAACACCCTACCATCTTAATTCTTTCTTTATAACATTTTTAATCTAATTAAGTAAGAAACCATCACCCAATGTATATTTATCTTAAAACTACCATATAGTAGAAAATTGAATACAATAGTTTTTAAGGCTTAATTTAATATTATACGCATAATAAAGCTATTGCGATAGAATCTTGATAGCTCTTGTCTTGATAAGAGAATTTTACACTCAAGGTTTTCAATAGAGAATGGTTTCGTAAAGTAGATAATATCGTTTGCCATAGACAATGAGGTAATTTTTTAGTGTGGATTTCCTTTGTTGGAGCTGCTTTTGGAAAAATCTGTATTGGATTTGATATGATTTTTTTTTACTATTTTATATATAATTAACAACCGGATCATCGAAGCATAGATTTATCGTTTTAATATTATCTTTATTTGCAAATTATATGTCAGTATAGTAGAAATACAATCCAGTTTGTTAGTATCTTAGCGTATTAATTAAGTAAAGCAATCTTTAGCAGGAAGTAACAAGTTCGAATAGAAAGTTACCGTAAGTTACTAAGAAAACTAAGTATAAATAGGAAATGTATACTTCGTTATTTTAATACTTCATCTGTTGAAATATACATATCTTACTAATATTATAAATGCGAATGTTTGAATGAATGGATGGATGTTTGTTTGCAGGTATCTCCAGAACAGTCGAACAAATCTCAACGAAATTAGGCATATATACAGAACTTAATCTAAAAGATTAGAAAGGCTACTAATTATGTTTCTTTTTAATTCCGCGCGAACGGAGTCGTAGGCGACCGGTAGTATAATTATAAAGCAAAAAAATATATAATGCTTTGCAACTGCAATTATCACTTAACATGATCGTATATTTAACGACAGTTGCTCAGAAACTTAGTGAATTTTCTTCAATAATCTCTAATTTATACCTTAAGTAACTCATATTTTAAGGTTAAATACAAACGTGATCAATCATAATTTGTGCAACAATAACATTGTGACTCACTGCTAGTAACGTAAACATAAGATAATGCACACAAGGTTCACCTCGTACTGACCACATATAACTTTATATTTTAACCTTTACCCTTGAAGACGTTAGCGTAGCATTCATTGGTTAAATATTTTTTCATAAGTTTGAGTTTTCGCTCATAAAAATAACGATTCGACGTATACAGTGTGACTTCTCATTGTTAGGAAGAAAATCCGACAATGTGCCGGTGTACTGGCGCAACACTAGCTTTGCTAAAATGTCGTCGTTTATTTCCCCTCACTAATCATTGACACTTGACTTGGTAATGAAAG